TTTGTTAAGATATCCTCAGAAGAAACCCAGAGTTTGGAAGTTGGCGGTGAGTCACCCCCGTGCCTTGGAGTAAAACCCTCGGTCCTTTGCCTTTACTCGCACCAGTCGTATCAAAGTATCGTTCCGTCGGACTTTGAGAGTAAAAGGAATAGGGAGTGCACGTTGTGTCTGCGCGTACACTTGTGCACTATAATATATATGTATCTCTTGCGCAGTTGTCTAGTCTCAGTGAGATTGGCCGCAGAGGCCGAAATTGGTCAGAAGGACATTATTATATACAGCTGCAGATCTAGAGTATAGTTATCAGGTTTTCGTGCTAATAAATTGTTATATTACTAGAACCCTGGAATTGGGGTGCACCTACAGCCATCAGTCCGCCTGATCTCTCACCGGCCGTCTCACAGAAGTTTTTAAAGTGAAAAAATAGAGAGTGCACTTATCTCGGCACATACACAGTCTTATGCACTATAACGTCTCCTGTACGCATGGCTAGTCTCAATGAGATTAGATTGCTGAGGAGGTCACTATTATACTATACAATCTTATCTTTAAATATTTAATGAGCAGTATCTTGTATATACGAGTAATATATAAATTTATCGTATCTCGGAAACCTTAAAACTCTAACGATTCGGTTCAAATATTAATTATATTCAGATAATTAATTTTATCTACGTATGTAGGTGTCTTTTCTAAAAAAAACGCAATGTTTATATCTTTTCTGAAAAAGGCCGAGCCTAGGCCGAGGCCGAGCCTAGGCCGAGGCCGAGGCCGAGGTTTTCAAGGTAGGCATTTTACTAATAGTGCATATGGTGAACAGGTAAAATCACCATTTAGTCTGTGGACAGTGTTCATAAAGATATTAAATCAAAATATTCACCTACGATAATGTAATTAAAACTGTTACTGTTAAATATGTAGTGCATACGATCCTTTGTTACGAAAACAGCCACTAAGGAGGTTTAATTATTGTCACTAATACTGAAAAACCACGAGAGCGTCCAATAGAAAACAAGAACCAAGTGGCGAACCAATCGAGTGTTTGCCTTTATAGTTACGTAAACTCAAACAGAGCAATAAAATTTTTGTTTATTATTCGTGCTGATATCTTGTATTTGTTTTTATTGTCAGAAGATACAGTAAATAGAGACTTTTGTTCATTGTTTTTTGCGAGCAAACGTTCAGACTCTACCTCACTAGAGGAAATACTGGTGGTGTATTAATGGCTTTAAAGGATTCAGTTCATCAGTTTCTTTAAAACCCTTTGATTATAATGTTAAGGAAAGACAACAAAGTAAGCTAGTTTTACACAATTTTCAATTCGTGGTAGAAATGAAGAGACATGAAACTAAAATGAAATATACTAGTCTTGGGTGATGATTGATGCTGATGATGAAAGTCATTTGGCGAAATGTTGTAACAAACAAAATTATAATTAATAATAAGATTTGTTAACAATTTAAATACTTGATAACGGAGTCCTCCCACACCAATCCGATCATGTGAACAATGTAATCTACGAACTGTCCATTCTCTTCTAACTTTTCTAATTTCATCATTTTCAGAACAAAACACTGTATCACTGTCACTACCTGTGCAAGCTATATCCACACTGTCGTCTGTCGATAAGTGATAATTTAGTTTCGTGATAAAAAAATTACAGCGAATAGACAATTAATAATTATTGAGGACGCAATAACAATACTATCAATCTTTTCCGTCGACACTTTTAATTTAAATAAAACGTTAACTTATGCATTTTTTGCATATTTACTTATATATTTTATCATAATATTTCTAGAATAAAGCCCCGCGTTTCATTAAATTATAGTCGACTAGTGACTCACCCTCGCTCCGCTCGGATTCGTCCCTACTTCACTTTTTAACGTTTAGTATAGATTTCTCAGAGATGAGATGTTTTCCCGCAGTAAAAAGTATCCTATATGTTGACCCAGATAACCAGCTACCATCATACCAAATTTCATCAAAATCCCACCAGTGGTTTTTCCGTGATGCGGTAACAGACAGACAGACAAAAATTCTAAAACCTATAGATTCGACCTCTGTATCGATAATAATGTCTATTACAATAAGATTTCCCAAAAAATATTAAATGTACAGATTCGGCTTAATTACAATTTTATTATATGCAAGTCATAAATGTTCAGGCTAAATTATATAAACAAAAAATGACATCCTATAAATAATTGACTTAGTAACAAAAACAACGTTTAAATTAGTCTCTGTAGCGTTATTCAATCATATATAATTTACTGACTTTTCAAATTCAAATTGAAAATATTTTATTCAGTATGAAATTATTACAATTTTTTACTCAACGTCATGAGTCTACTACCATTTCGGAAAGAAGAAGCCTTAGACATGAGAAAAAACTGGCGAGAGAAACTCAGCGGAACTTTCGTTACCTATCTTTTTTATAAAGTTAAGTTATAAATTACAATATTTCTATAAAGTTGAAGTAGTATCCTGGAGGCGATCATTTCATTCCCAAGGCGTGCCATCTTCTATAAAATCATTTATTATTTAATAGCCTTTACCAAACAAACGTTCTTTAACAATTCATATCATACAAACAAAGCAGTTTTCATCAGTTTTGTTATTAGGTACCCAGCTAACACAAGTAGGTTATATAAATATGTATAACGAGTTTTTAATAAAAACATAATTTAATCATTTTAAATTAAAAAAAAACCGCACACTGAATGCTTCCTAACAGAAGTCAGTAGAGTTGATGATTCATGCAATCAAGTACATTTATTACTTTAATTACACATACATACTACATATATCATTTTTATGAGCGTTTCCAGTGTGATATGTAAAAATTATTTCTGGATAGAATTTCATACGTAGTTATAAGATACTAATGATAATTGTTTTATGGCTTTCCATATTAGCAATATGACGGAAAAGACTCCCTATAATAATATATATATGCCGGCACCAGTGGCAAAACACCCAATGCCACGCTTCAGGCTAATCAAATCATACCATCTGATTAATCGAACTCGCGATATTAGGCGTAGTAAGCAAGCGGCAGTTCAGATTCATGCCACAACGTAATTATATTCTGACGCACTAAACGAATTCACTGAAAGAATTTTAAGCATTTTTCATTGTCTTACAAAGTATATCTTACCAAATGGTCTCATTCATTTGGTCATAATAAAACATAAAATTATTGGAATAGGGTATATGGGACAGAATGGTTGCCAAAAACTGTTTCCCACTGTTTCTGCATATTTATGGTACTGTTATGCAACAGCACGAGGTTATAGTGGATAAAATGACACAATTAATTTTTATCGCATTTAGTATTTAAGTACTTACAGTGTCAAATATAAAATTTCCCATTTATGCCGCTACGGTTCTTTGTATAGCAATCGTAGATAAGTCTGTTGGTTTAGTATTTTATGAATGATTATATAATAATATCTGTTAACGTTTGAATATGATTACAAAAAGACTTGTTTGTGGGAAATAGAAAGATGGAGGCGGTAGGTATTTGTTTTACTGACAAGTCATATATTTTTAAAGACTGCTTTGGTTTAATGCGGATTATGCAAGAGAGTATCAATTTCAGGATTTTCGCGATATATAGTTTTAGAACATCGCAAGTAAGCCAGAGTGTGTGAGATAGGTACATAACGATGCGAAGACATTTGCAGAAACAGACGACAACTCCAAAATTTTGGTCCAAATCAGATATTAGTTTTCATCATACTGTCGGACAAACGTATAGAAATACAAACAGTATTAGCAACAATGTTTAGAGGAATATTTAACCTTGAAAAGTATCTGTTGTTGTCGTTAAAGTTAGTTACGATTGTACACGTGCACTGCTATTGTTCGTGTCCGTCGACGTCAAAGCCGAATTTTCAATGCATATAATAAAGAAATTAGTCAATGAGTTAGTAATGGATAATGCTACTCATGTTTAATTATAGACGCAATTTCAACTTCCTTTATAAATGTTTTATATTCAAATTTAAAACACATAAAGATGTGTGTGTGATAGATTTAAAGTAAAACTATGTAAACATTTTTTATGTATGCAAAATAGTTTGCGTTAGAATTTTACACTGATTTATTTTTAAATGTGTTTGATAAACTTTTCTTGAAAAGCTAAATTAATAGATATTGAAATTTTGATAGTCTGGTTTTGGAAATACATAGACACAATAAAAATTTTGTGTGTGTGGGTGATATTGAGTGTTAACTGTAGTTGTATGTATATATATATATTTATATTATATTGATTATAACAAATTTCGCTAGCACAATATATACTTTTATAATAATATACTAGTTAAGCAAATTGATAGGTGGTTACGGGACAACTGGAGTTCATAGTGTTACAAGTGTTATAAAGCCTAAATGTGTGCATCAGCACAGCCACTATAAAAACATAATAAAATTCCATGTTTATTCAATGTTGAAAACCTTAAAGTGCCATATAAAGAGATACTCATATCTACTTTCAATCTAAATAGAACTATACACTTATGTATAAAACTTAGTATAGTAGCAAATACAAATTGACACTGTGGTAAAAAAAAAAACATAAAAGTTCATAAAAGAAAACATAAAAATCATATTATTTGATTTCCTTTATTATAAAAAAGAACTTCAATTTCATTTTTAAGTTTTAAATAGTAAGAACTTTGAAAATAAAAATATTCTATGCAAGAACACATATCTGAATGTGATAAAAATTATTTAGTAGGTAAAAAAATAAATATAAAAACCTAGCTGTTAGAATGTTTCATTATACTCATGAATACTTTTAAACTTTAAATTAATTGTTATTATGAATCTTGCCTACATTTTAATACTGCTATTAAACATTTTATTCTAAACTATATATAGAATAAAATGGACAACCGAAAAAATAAATAATCATCAAAAAAATTGTATAGCAAATTATTCAAACATTTTTTTTATCATTGTTTATAATAATGCAAATTATCATAACTTACTTGGTCTCTTGTAGCACTTGGTTGGACTGTGTAATGACTCCGGAGAATGTAAGAGCCTGGCTGATACTTTGCCCTATGGCATCTTGAGATGATATCACTAGATTTTCCACGGATTTTCTCCTAATAAATATATTAAATAATGTAATAATAATACTGAACACACAAATAAATTTAATATAATAAAATAATTAAAAAACAGCAACAATGTATACAAACAATATTAGCATCTGTTATGTATTCAAATATAAAAACAGAAATAATTACATTTTTGCACAAAGCAATATGCTTTCGGCTCAATGAGTGCTATTTCCTATGTTTCTAACTTTTATAATGTTCCTATGTCAGACATCGATGATCCTTTATAAATTAGCACGGCATGAACAAACATAGGATACAAGTAAATAAACTGTGATATCTGACTTAAGTAAATTTATATGCGTAATGTAGAACAACAATTAAATGCATACTAACATGGAAATAGCGATGTTTCGGCTCTCCACTTCCGAAGTAGTCATTTTAAGTACAATGGTGTCTAGTTCACTTTCCGTTCATGCACTCGAGAGCAATCATCAAGAGCTCCGTTTTTTGCTTTCATCATCCAAATAAAAACCTTTTTGACGAAAACACAATCGGTCAATCATACAACATTGATTCGCGGCGGTACTGACAGTTTCACTGCAATGTTGCCTATACACGCACAGTGGCCAGTGTACAAACACTGTGACAGATGTTGCCATTTTCTACCTTTTTTTTTCAATGGAGAAGATTTCTTGAAAAGAAGGCGCCACAGGTATAGCCTATTTACAATCAGTCTGAGGATAAGATAGAGGTATTTAATTGTTTTTTTTTAGAAATTCATTCCTTAAAGGGGGAAAAGGGGATTCTAAAATTTATATCGGCAAAGAATTATTTATAATCAGAATTACTTAAAACTTGGTATTAATGCTTTTCAATATAATTAAATAAATTCGTAGTTAAGCATTTTTCGAAAGACAATCTCATAAGGGAGTAATATGGGAGATTAATGTTAAGAGTAAAAAAAAGTACAAAAATTATAAAAAAAAAATCAACTGTAGACGATTTAAGAGTTTTAAAAACACTTTCTTTAAAATGATGTCGACATAGCCTTAAATATAAAGATTGTGATTTCGCCAATTTTGGCCGTCTTATTGCTTTAGCCTTTAGCTTTAGTTTTTGTCTTTTGGGAACAAATGATATCAATTTCCTTTTCATCCTGGTATTGCACAATTTATCACTTTAATTAAAAAATAAAACGCAACAAAATTTATCCAGGCTATAGTTTTACAATATACTGATAGCGACATCTGGCGGGAGAAAAAGCCAAGATTATTCTCCATTATCATTAAATGATTTCATTAAACGTTTTCTAATAGTTATTTAAAAATAACTGTTAGTTAATAAATTATAAATGATGGATATCTTTAATTTTTAATATAAATAAAATTATAAAATCATAATAATAATTGTAACAATAACAAGTTACAATGTTTTCGTTAATTACGCCTGGCTGTGGCATCTGGCATATGTCAAAATTTGTCAACATTCAACAATGTCATTGTGAGGTTTTAGCACGTGAATTTATTTTACAAAAGAGCGCATTATTTAAATTCAGTTATGGCTGATGAAGCCATATTTGATAAGAAAAAAGCACATCGAGCTAAACATGCAGGAAGAAAAGCTGAAAAGAAGAAAAAGAAGAATCAAATAGATCAATCTAACCTAACCGCACGGCAAAGAAATCCAAAAGCATTTGCTATACAATCTGCGGTTCGAGCTGAAAGGCAATTTCGGCGGCGAGAGGATGTTATTGCTAAAAAGCAACATATTCCCCAAGTGGACAAAACACCTTTGGAACCTCCACCAATCGTTGTAGCGGTGGTGGGCCCTCCCAGAGTTGGTAAAACAACGCTTATAAATAATTTGATTAAAAGCTTCATAAAAACCAACGTGACGAGTACAAACGGCCCAATTACCATTGTTACATCTAAAAAACGTCGACTTACTTTAATTGAATGTAATAATGACATCAATTCCATGATAGACATAGCAAAATGTGCAGATCTTGTATTATTACTATGCGATGCTAGTTTTGGATTCGAAATGGAGATATTTGAATTTCTTAATATTTGCCAAGTCCATGGCATGCCAAAGATCATGGGAGTGTTGACACATTTAGATATGATTAAGAATGCAAAAAAATTAAAAATGACAAAGAAAACACTGAAACATCGTTTTTGGACAGAAGTCTATCCTGGTGCTAAATTGTTTTACCTTTCTGGTATAATTCATGGAGAATACTTAAGAAATGAAATAAAGAATTTGTCTAGATTTATATCAGTGATGAAGTTCCGCCCCTTGAGTTGGAGAATGACCCATGCTTATGTGTTAGCAGACAGGTTAGAAGATATTACTAATCAAGAAGCTATAAGAAAGGATCCTAAAGTAAATAGAGATGTTGTTCTCTATGGCTATGTTAGAGGTGTACCTCTTATGAAAGAATCTGCAGTGCATATAGCAGGTAAGCAAAATCTATTTTTTAAATGTAATTTTAATTACTGATTTATTTGTTTACATATATGAGACAATATTATTTTCAATTTTGAATAATTGTTTGTTTATTATATTACTAGCGGCTCACCCTCGCTTCGCTCGGGTTCGTCGCTAGGTACGTTTTAAATAGATATAAAAAGAAAAAATCTTTCTTTCTCACATTTTAATTATATGTTTTAATACTTACCTATTCCGGACTAAGAGAAATCCAAAAATTAAAATATCATAAAAATTGGAACGCGGTCGAACGGGATAAAAAGTATCCTATGTCCTTCTCCTGGCTCTAAACTACCTCCCTGCCAATTTTCAGCTAAATCGGTTCAGCCGTTCTTGAGTTATAAGCGAAGTAACTAACACGACTTTCTTTTATATATATAGATGTAAAACCTCTATCAGTAGCAGGGGAAAAATAACTACAGCCTTGAGAAGAACTAAGGGAATTTAGATATTTTTTATAGCACAAATATAATCTATACTAATATTACAAAGAGGCAGAGTTTGTTTATTTGTGAAACAAATTTTACGCAGGTGAATCTGCGGGGTACTGCTATTACATATAATAATTCTACTTGTCTCCTTTTCAGGTGTTGGTGATATGAAAATTAGTGAATTGTCATATCTACCAGATCCATGTCCATTACCCAATCGTGACAAAAAGAGACACTTAATGGAAAGAGAGAGACAAATATATGCTCCTTTCGCTGGTGTTGGAGGTATAGTCTATGACAAAGATGCAGTTTATATTGAACTTAAAGGATCACATTCACATAATAAGGAAGATGAAGAAACAAATGAAAAGAAAGCTTTATTAAAAAATGTTGTAGAAACAAAAGAAACTGTTGATGAACAAATGCAAGAGTCTGGGTTTAAACTTTTCAGTGGAGGTGCTGTTATATATCCTGATATGGTAAAGGATGATGAATATTTACAGCATGGTAAAAATGAAGAGAACCAGAGTAGTTCTGATGAAGGAGATGATGAGTCCGACAATGACAGTGACTCTGATAATGACAGTGGAATAGATCAGAGTGAAAAGGACAGTAATGTCAAAAGTTCAAAACTTCCATGGGATAATAATTCTGGTTCAGAAAATGAAGATAATGATAATGCTGATGAAGACATGGAAGAAGATCGCAAATTGAAAGTGACTGCTGAAGGAAAGTCAGATTCTGATCAGAGCTCAGATGAAGAAGATTTTAGTACAAAATGGAAAGAAAAGTTAAGTGAGAAAGCTACAGCAGCATATTTTGAACGTCAGAAAACATCAAATAATATCATGAAGCTAGTATATGGGGACTTTGAAATTGGAAATAAAACCAAGGAACAGAAAGACGAGAGTGATGAAAGTGATGAAGAAGAAATTGGTGGTCTCTTTAAAAAAGTGACGAGTACTCAAAAGAAAAAACATAAAGAGAAAGAACAATTGGACCTAGATGAATGTTCGTTTTTCTATTCATTAGATAAACCGAATCTTAGGGATTGGACGAAAGATGAAAATAAACAAATTTTGATAAATAGCTTCGTAACTGGCAAAAGATCCGCAGATGAAGACGCGGAAGAACTTCTCAAGTTAGATGATGCGAGTGATGGTGAAGATGAGATGTTTGGTGATTTTGAAGATTTAGAAACTGGAGAAAAACATGTTAGCGAAAATAAAGAAGAAACAAAGGAGGTAGTTGGTGCGAAACGTAAAGCTGAATTAACAAAATCAGAAATGCTGGATAAGAAAATGAAATTAAAAGCGAAGTTTGATGCAGAATATGACAACCCTGACGACCACAGAATAAAAGGTGACCACTCATATTATGAAAATTTAAAAGCAGAGGCTTTGAAGCAATCTGAGCTAAATAAGTCAGTTTTCGAAAATTTAGACAATGGCTTAAGAGTGGAAGTAGAAGGATACAGACCAGGATTGTATGTCAGAATGCTATTTAAAAATATGTCCTCAGAATTTGTGACCAACTTCGATTCTAGCTATCCATTACTTATTGGAGCTCTCAACATGGCTGAACAGAATATTGGTTTTGTATCATGTAAAGTAAAGAAACACAGGTGGTACAAAAAGATATTAAAAACGAATGATCCCCTTATCATTTCGTTGGGTTGGCGCCGATTTCAAACTTTACCTATTTATTCTAAAATTGAAGACGATCTAAAGTGTCGATATTTGAAGTATACACCTGAGCATGTCACTTGCAACATGCACTTCTATGGACCAATTACACCACAAAATACAGGTTTCTTAGCTCTACAGACTGTGAATAATGAGTCAAATGAAATAAAACAATTAGGTTTTCGAATTGCAGCCACAGGAAGTGTCAATGAAATCAATAAATCTACACAGATTATGAAAAAGCTAAAATTAGTTGGAACACCTTTAAAAATTTACAAAAAGACAGCTTTTATTAAAGACATGTTCACAAGTACTCTTGAGGTCGCCAAATTTGAGGGAGCGAGAATAAAAACGGTTTCTGGCATTAGAGGGCAGATTAAAAAGGCTTTAAACAAACCCGAAGGCGCATTCCGCGCGACGTTCGAAGATAAAATTCTAATGAGTGATGTAATTTTCTGTAGAACTTGGTTCAAAGTGGACGTCACTAAATTTTACGCGCCCGTTGTCAATCTTTTGCTTCCGGTCGGCAATAAGAACGCTTGGCAGGGAATGAAGACGAAAGGACAGCTGAAACGAGAACGGAATATCAAAAGCGACGCTAACACTGACTCGATGTACACTGACATTGTGAGGGAACCAAAAGTCTTCAAACCATTAGTAATACCTAAGGAACTTCAAAAAGGTTTGCCGTACAAATTGAAACCTAAATCTAAAGCAATGTCCTTATCGAAAACAAATTTAAAAGAGAAGTTCTCAGATAGAATAGCCGTCGTCAAGAGTCCGCACGAACAGCAAGTATCCAGCGTAATTAAAATGTTGAAAACTAACTTTAAGAAAAAGAAAGAAGTTCAAAAAGAGCAAACAGTTGAGAGAGTGAAGAAGTTCAAGAAACAACAAGAAGAAGATGAATGGCGTAAACTTAAACGACAGAAGGAATTAAAAAAGAAAATTTGTAGGCATCTAAGTAAAATGTCAAATAAGAAAGAAAAGCAAATGTAAAAACAAAATAAAGTCATCTTAAACATTATTGTTAAATATTTTCACTACAGCATCCCCTCTCCTCTATCACTTTTGATAATATATTTAGTTGTATTTTCACATATTGGTGATAATAATTAATAATTGATTACATTTTCCTAGTGGGTATACTTCAAGTAACAGCTTTCTTTTATCGTCTGTGAAGATTTTGATCTTACTTTTATTAACCTCATACACTGACAAAAAATGGACTTAATCGATTGCAGTTATTTTTCCGATATCATTAGGATATCACTTAAACCCTAATAGACTGAAATTTTGTTTTCAAGCTCATATTATTATAATTCGTTCATCGAAATCAAAACAGCTTACGAACTGTACCTATTTAAAAAAAATCGATTTTACAAGCCAACTATGGTTACAAGGTAATTAAAATATTTTCCAGAGCTATCAAAACATAGGAAATCAAAATACGGCTTATATAATTTTGAAAAAAATATATAAACTCATTACCTTTATCTATACATATAATAAAATTGTAACCAAGCCGAATTACATTAAATATTTTTTTTAAAATCATATAGAAATAGTCATTATTATCGATACAGAGGCCGAATCTAGTTTTTACGCAATACGAATAAACCAGTAGAGGGATTTTGATAAAATTCGGTAGGTATGATGATAGCTGGTTGTCCGGGTCCACATATAGCATTACCTTTTACTACGCGAAAATATCATCTCTGAGAAATCTATACTAAACGTTAAAGCGTAAGGAGGGACGAACCCGAGCGGAGCGAGGGTGACGCGCTAGTTACCTTTATATAATTGCTAGTGAAACATTACTCTTGTGAAATTTAAAGACGACACGTTTGGCTCAGTTTGGTGCTTACTTAGTGTGCCACGGTAGCGGGTTCGAGTCCGCCTGGGGGCATTCCTTTATGTGATGAGCACGAATGTGGCTCAGTTTGGTGCTTACTTAGTGTGCCACGGTAGCGGGTTCGAGTCCGCCTGGGGGCATTCCTTTATGTGATGAGCACGAATGTTTGTATTCCAGTCATGGTTGTTTATATTTATAATGTGTATATATTTAAAGTTACATATGTGCAATGTATCGACTACCTGGTATCCACAACACAAGCCTCGTAGCTTACCATGGAACTAGATGGTGATGTGTGTTAATGTCCCAAGATTTTTTATTATTACCTACTTTTCTTAAAGATAAGATCACGTTTGCTCTAGTTATTAGCATTTTATGTGATGATTTGGAATTCCACTTACTCGTCGATGCAGCTATGTATTTATTTGCACTAACTCACTGATTGAATCGAACTTAGCCATATTTTTTTTTATTTCTTTTATTAAACACGAAAGAAGCTCATTGAAATCCTAAGCCCAGTCGTTCTCTAGAGAGTAGGGATATATGTAAGAATAATATAAATTATTAATTATATAAAACAGGATTTATATGTATTATTCTAGATTCATTATTTTATTCTTTATGTTGTTACTCTGTTACAAAATACTTATTTGAGTTTTCTGACGTTGTCATCTTGAGTGGAAAAAGGGCGGGAGCAGCGTTGTTTTTTGTTTCATGACTTTTAAATAATGCGTGATGCGTCATTCGTTTATATATGTAGCAATATACTCTATGGTTTTTGTAATGTCGCTTGAGCCGTTACTCTGACTCTATATATAAAATAATAAAAACTGTGAGCTGTTACAATGAATTTCACTTGGCCTACCTGACCTACTTCTGAGATAGACTTGTAATAGTAGTATTTGTGGAGCGTCGTAGCCGTCTAGAAGTTAATAGTCTCAGATTCTCTATATTATTCCATCTATAGTTTAGGCTATATATCATCGTGCTACTTCTGAAGGGAGCGGATCAGTAATATAATATATAGTCTACTAGAACAAACAATCCTATCCCACAAAACACAAAAACAAACCTATCCCACGGTAACCATATATTTTTCCCGGATAAAAAGTAAGTAGCTTATGTGTTATTCCATACTATAATCTATCTTTGTGCGAAATTTCATCCAGTTTCGTTCAGCCGTTCTCGCGTGAAAGAGTAACAAACATCCATACTCACAAACTTTCACATTTATAATATTAGTATAGATATTATATACTCTTTTAGTCCCGTCATATAACAATATTTCTCACTTCCATAGGTTGGCTGGAAGAGATCTGTTCTAGAGATAAGTCCACCTTTGCCCACATTGGTCTCTGTATTATCTATGTTACTATGTTAATATGCGAATAAGAATATATAAATATATTCCAAACAATTCGTTAAAACGTACCTAGGTACAAACTCGAGCGAAGCGAGGTTTAGCCTCTACTAACTAAGAATAGGGTGGTAAGTAAAACAAAACATAGTATCGTGTAAATTGTATTTACCACTTATGATACGCATAACGCAAGTCACCGCACGTTCAGTAAATATTTTTACAAACGTTACATACAGATTACATTGGTCAAAATAATCGCCTACAACAATCCGAGACATCATCTGCACTGACAACTGTTTGTTACAAGCGATATTCGAAAGCCTGGAATGTCCGCCGGTACTTTAGTCCTAAAGCTATATAAACACATATGCGAAATTATATACATTCGACAATTTTTCACTAGAATCCTATGATACATTAATTCCTTATTGTGAAGGTAACTTTACTCTTTGGTAGCGCGAGCCGTTGGGACTTGGGGTCTGTGGTCGCTCTGTGCCTCGATCGTAGCCGACTGATATAATAGAATACATCGAAAAATCGTATCAAATATTCCATTAAATCTGCTCATTTAAGCTCATTCCATACAAAACACACGACCCATTTCCAAAGGATATACCACCAGAAATCCCATCAAAATCGGAGCACAGAGGCGAGTGAAGTGGAATGTCTGGATGAACTGTTCCTCGCCGCGTCCTTTCCTCGAGAGTTGGCACTTGTGGAGTATTGAATAGCAAAAAGCTCAACAGAAAGCTCAACAGAATCGTAAATCGGGATCTAAAGCTCTAAACTATAGGACGATAATACGTAACGGGGAATACCCGACTTTACAGAACTGCTACACCGACAAGCTATCACTAGTAACATAATCACCTCGCAACCTTACAGTCCAATATAAAACTTTATGTACTCTCTATGTATATAATTTATATAATGAAAACGAATGATGTGTACCAATGATATAGACACGGTCGCTGATCGTACGCGCGTCGCGAGGCGGATCCAACATTGTCAATTGACATTGAATATATATAAAGGAACAATATATCTACAAAGTATATACATAAGTGTATTTATGTACATATATATAATAGAAAATGATTGATTAATTAAAGATTCAATAGAAATACTATATAAGAAAAAAAAACAATGTTGCCAGTTACAAACGATGTAGATAACCAATAAAAATGCAATTGATTCGAAAGTTGAACCCGCCCCACTGCTCGCCAATAAATATTTGATTAGTTTTAAAAGAACAATGTATATTTTATTCCACAATTTTATTTAGACGCCGCAATAAAATTTATAAAACACAAATATTACATACAAACATGTTGCCATAAAAAATTCGAACCCGAGAGCGCAGTCCGGGACTTTTATCAATTTTACACACACCATGCAGTACTTACACTTTAATTCAAACGCTCTCACACTTATCCCAAGTGTTTTCATAGGGACTTGCGGTCTCGAGTTCGATTCTCGCGATCAACAATACTGGGAAACTTAAAAAATATGTCGATTAAAAAAAAACTTAATTAGCTGTGATCACATCGAGGGCTTAATTCTAATATCATCCCATCGAAAGCGCCGGCTCGAACCCACTAACGTCATAATACTGTCGCAAATATATACAGTCACTTGAACCTGGCCGATAGAAACGAATGAATGATATGAAACCTACAAAAAAATGAATGATATGAAACCTACAAATTGTGATTTCGACAACCGTTAGTCATGAATGAGGTATTCATCGAAGGTCGAGCTTAAATTGTCTATAAATAAATTAAGCATAAAATTAATAAAAAGTGAAACAACGTTTCGTTTGAACACATCCTAGCTAAATATTGCTAACTCCATATCTAATCGATATAAACGCTATATAGAAACCATATTTACACCGTACTCTATAGATTCCGTCAAATCAAATCGGTTAGCTATACATTATACATTTTATTTAGCTATCGGGATTATAATGGGGGGGCGGCGAGGTGCGCGGACGAGGGGAAGTATCTAATTAAATATAATTAAACGATCTCAACAAAAAAATGTCACAATAAATAATTAATTATTGTATTATTTAACATCGTATAAAAAACGAGTTCCAATATCGATATCTTGCATAGTCTGCCCGCGCCGCCACCGCGCCGCGCCCCCTCGCGAGGAAGTGCACCCAACACGCTGTAAACCCTTAACAAAATACAGGTACTTACGCGGTACGAGTAGATACAAAAACGATATAACGCTGTACACTGGACTAGTGCGAGTGTGCCGTCTGCTATAATAGCTGTAGAATACTATCGGGATCGTAGTTAGATATCGAATCGTACTATAAATAATTTTTTATATTGAAAATGTCTAATATCATTAAAAGTTGCCATATTACAAAATTTCGATATTCATATCTTAAATGAATACATCCATACATAGTTATCACAATCCGATATCTATCTACATTTGAAAACAACAACTTCAATAATATTATTAAGAAACGTTAACAAAATTGTAAATAAAAAATATTTTCAATAATTAGCTATCTTTAGATATAAAACGATGAGAGTAAGTACGTTAGTTATATAAGAGACAGGCACACGTTCCTATACATAAAGCTATATGTACAGACCTCGGCGAGGCACTTGGTACACTTACTTCGTATTCTTTCATCTCATTTTAAACTGTCCCATTTAATTTTCATTCAAAACCGAACCAAAGGAATATTATATATCAAGATAAAAATTTCCTTATAGCAATTTCGTTTTCTTTTTCTATCATGGCAACAACGCTTGCCTCAGATCAAAACAAAGTATGGCAATATCTCGCACGACACAAACCTGAGCCTTACCTTACGTTAACAATAAATATGGAATACACGTGTTAAGTACTTTGTAAACTACCCTCAGAGCTTCCCTTTTAAATACATCATATAAAGCGATAACTATTTATTATATATGATACACAAAATTTTATTGTATTAACAGTTTTCAGACCTGGCAACACTATCAGTATTAATTTTTCCCGCCGCTATTGAATTTGACTAGAAAATTAAATTATTGTATATTTTCGTTATTGTCGTTTAATGGTATCTAAATCGTTAGACTGAGAGTGTTGCCACATCGCCGCGGTCCGTATGAGACTACGCAATTCCAAATCCTACATAGATTAAATAAATTATATTAATAAATTAAATCATTGTATTTACAATTTTTAAGACTTGCTTAGTTGACTTGCGATAATGGACTTTCACGCCATAAACGATATACATTAACCTTATATCAACAATATTTGATATAAAATTGCACTATCAATAATGTCACATGTACGTTCGTATAAAACAAATTTAAAGTATACAAATCAGTATTCGAACCAAGATACCGTCAACTAAATTATAATACATCAAAAGTATCGCATTGAACTTCTTTCCTTTCTTTAAGCCGAGTCTCGCCCCCCGCCCCCTGGGGGGTGTTGGGGGTTAATAATATTTAATTAAATCAATATAAACATTTATAAAGTTATCATTTCAACGTTCATCCTCGCGTATTCCCGTGGGGGTGTTGACAGAACAAATGTAGCACAGTTATGGGAATGCCGCGCCGGGTTTAGACGCCGGCGTGGGGGTGTCGGGGGTGCGTGGGTGTGGGGGTGTCGGGGGGTGTCTGGGGGTGTGGGGGAGTCTAGTTGATGGTGTGGTGTCAGGAGGGCGGCGCGTGGTCGTGGGGCTGGCGCGCCTTGCGGTCGGTGCCGGTCGCCAGGAGGTTGTTAAATTCTACTTCTAGTATCTGCCGCGCCTGGAAATACAAATATTTCATAATATTAACATTTTATTGTATTTTTAAAGAAAAAAGCATGAATGATGATATAGTTTTAACAATTGGCATTTCATGGCCATGTTAATTTACATATTATGAATATACACAATTTTAAGGATATATTACAAATTAAATTAACATCACCACATACCCATCACTAGTGCAATTAAATCATACACCAAGACAAAGACGTCCAAATGAATCATAAAAAAGTAAAGGGAGATAGAGAGGAGGTAGAAGAGATTCACCTGCGTGTTCTGCGTGGGTATCTGCAGCGCGAGCGCCATGCTGTTGGCGTCGAAGTTGTCGTCGAGCGCGATGAGCGCGCCGTGCACGCCGCTCTCCGACAGGTTGTTGGCGTACTCCTGCGCGCAATCACACGTCCGACGTGAGTGTTCATCATTATCACGCTATACTTGTATATTTATTTACAATTTTCTTGGTGAACAGTTTCAAAATAATAATCATTGTAATGGCACCTTGTTGCAAGTTACAGTAACATAAATTAACTCTTAAAATCGTTTCCCGAATATCATATAAAAGAAATGTAAGACACTCGGGAGCACTTTTCCCTCAAGCTACGCAATTGTTCTATTTAAACGTCTCCATCAGACTGTACGAACTAGTTGCTTAAAACTGTAGCGGATACTTAACCTAATATCGTTTTCCGACTGTCAGGTAAAATTACGTATGATAATAAAAAGCATATCTCCCCAAGCCACACGATTGTTTTATCTAGACATCTCGTCCAAGGCTCGGAAAACTGTTCCATTTTTAAATCGGTTTTGGTTATTGATCCCAAACCGAAAGGCTTTTCGGTTTAAGGTTTAAACTGGTTAAAATGAGTTTTTGTGAGTTTACATTTGACGCTTCTTTGCTAATAGTAAATGGCTCAGTAGAAAGATACATAAATGTACGTTTCTTAGTGATGAATGGATAACCGATTTACTTCAGTATCAAAACCGAAATGCAACCTCTCTTTAAGAATTCCTGTCCCGGGCGTACCTTGAGGTTGACGGCGTGCAGCCAGCGCTGCAGGCGCTCGTTGGTCCACACGAGCACGTCGCGCGCGGCGGGCGGCTCGGCGGCGCGGCGGCGCTCGTCCAGCGCGCGCACGCTGTAGCCCACGCGCTTGAGGCACGCCACGCCGAAGTGCAGCGACGTGCGGTGGAAGCTGTCCACCATCTTGAGCTGCGCGCGCAGCTCGCGCTTGGTCAGGTGCTCCAGCATGCGCGCGTCCACCAGGCACTCCATGAACGTCGTGCGGTACTGCGGCAGCCCTGCGGAGGTGCAGCGGTATTCGTACTCACTCATCGAACTATATATAGACCTAGCTACTCGTTATAAAAAATGAACTATACTATATTCCAGACTACAACCTATCTCTGTTCCAAATTTCATCCAGATTCGTTCAGTCATTTTGGCGTGTTTGAATAACAAACATTGAAATTCTCAAAATTGTAATATTATAATGACATTATTAAATGAGAAATCGTATGTAAAACAAAATGGCTTTAAGAGAACCTTTTTTTTATAAAAAAAAAAACTTAAGGATAATTTTAAAATGTGAAATATCCTCGTGGATGCAAGAGAGTACCGAGCGAGGGCAGCCAGACGTTGCCGATCCACTCGTGGTTCATGTCCCCGAAGGCGAGCGCGGCGCAGGCGGTGCCGCGCGGCGCCGACGGCGACGTCAGCGACACCATCTCCTGGATGGCGAGGCGCAGCTTGAGGCGGTGCAGCGGGTTGCTGATGCCGATCTCGCGCTGGATCTCCTGGTCGGACAGCGCCGACATGATGGCGCCGGACTTGACGTTGGCGCGGCACGCCGCCACGTACCAGGCCGGCATGCCCACCCACAGCTCCAGCCACGCCACCACCGTGGGCCCGTTCCACAGCGCGAACGGCGTGCCGGCGCGCATCGCCTCGCCCAGCAGCTCGTGCCGGTAGTCGCGCTCCCTGCCGGAGGCGACCCTTTGCATTATTATCTTTGTTTTATATCCCACTGGCGACTCGCCTTCGTTTCGCTCGGGTTCATTCCTAGATACGTTTCAACGGTTAGTATGAAATACAAATCTTTAAATTTCTCGGCTTTTTCTGTACTATAATATGCATATATAATACATATAAACCTTCCCCTTGAATCACTCAATCTATTAAAAACCGCATCACAACCAGTTGCGTAGTTTTAAAAATATATATATACATATATGATATATGTATACATATGGACAGAGAAACAGCAGAAAGCGACTTTATTTTATAATATGTAGTGTTGTAAAAAAAAAACGTGTTGTGTACTTATGTACGCACGTAAGGAGATGTACTTCTTTGGCGTAACAGAACAAAAATAGCTAAAGATTTCATCCTATATGTCCAACTCTATGTTTGGAAAAGAAATTCAGCTAACATTACCATGTCGCTTTTTGACTGTAGGTGTGCACGCACATCGTAAAAATTTTACTCTTATATTTTTCCCCAAACGTACCAAAAGAAGTATAACTTCAAAAACTATATATATGAACCTTTATATTACGTATATGCAAAAATTTTAATAAACATTTTAATTATATAGATATTGACATATGTTCCATCATGAAATGTAAAAAATTGATTAGAGAAATTATGTAATATTTTTTATCTATTTAGCAGTTATTTTTTGTAGATTAATTTTATAGTGTTTTGTGTCATATAGTATTAGTTAATTTTTGTAAATTTTTGTTTTCATGAAGTTTAATATGTCATTTTTTTGTATTTTTTTTTGTAACTGTCAACTTCACAACTCGATATGATTCAGGTATCAGTGGAAACTTTATTGGTCTATCAATCATATATATTAACTATTGTATAAACATTTGTAGACACTGTTTATTTCTCCAATAAAAATAAGATGAAATAAATAAAAATTAAACCAGTGACAGGATACGGTGAAGGAAAACATAGTGAGGAAACGAAAGACATGTGTAATCATGTGACCAACACGCACTTGGACTATTCGTATTAAAGGGAGATCCATGCCCAGCAGTGGGACGTTAAACGAGCTGAATTATTAATTTTCCCCAAGTGGCCATTTGTATTCTTTATGTTACGGTAGCTCTCAGAAGGGACAACATTCGACTTAATTTAAGAAGAGATGATATTAAAGTTTATTTATGCAAAATGTTTATGAATTGAATTATATAACCTCAAAAAAATCCTCTTCGCTAACAGAAAGCTATTAGCGAAAACTGTATGAAAATCCATACAGTTGTTTTTGTGATTACCTCAAATAAACACACACTTAGAGCGGCGGGAGACTAATTTATAATATGTAGTGACACGCCTTCGCTTTCCTATGCAACGAATTTAGATAACTTTTCCAAAGATTCTCCCACAAAAACCATCATATTCACCAAGATGAAAAAATTAAATCAAACCCAATTTTTTTTATCCAAAACGCACATCTTTGCTCATATCATTAGAAAATATTCACAAAACAAAATCAAACCAAACACCACTAACTTGCTCTTAGTCCTAGCGTAGTCCTGATGCTGCAGAGGCGTGTGCGAGTGCGCCGCCTCCAGCCCGTCGTCCCCGAGCGAGGACAGGCCCAGCGACGACGCCGACGACAGCGACCGCGGGCTTTGCCCTTGTTGCATCTGCAAATTGTTTTGGAAAGATTAAATAATGTCTAAATTAGATTTGGGAATAGTGCCTCCATTAGTTTTTATTAGTCACTATTGCAAAATAAGTTGATTCACGCTTTTTTGGAAAACAAACGAAATGTATTATATGTACAATTATCTTTATCGTTGTAAATTTGAAAAAGTTTGCAGACCACTAAAGTATCCATTTAAGTATATTACGCAATAAAAATAGACATGATTTTGGGATAAAAAATAAATTTGTACCGATGACATGAGGTAATATGATTTGTAACGGGCATAATATATAAGTATAGATATTATATTAGATTATAGATCGAATATGTATCGATTGGACAGTCTCTCGCTTGGTCTCGCAAGTGCAATACGCACTTCAATAAACGCTTAATATTAAAGCTTTATTATTTTCTCCTCACGTCCGCCACATATTGGTGACCCCGACGTGATAAACAACACCTGACTGAAGATCAAATATACGATGGCTACCAATTCTAAACCAGTTGTACAAGCGAAGGAAAACTTACGTGAAGATTCAGAACTGGCAACAATCAGCGTATCATCGCGAATACCGGAATTTTGGTGCGACCAGCCGCGATTATGGTTCGCCCAGTGTGAGGCGGTGCTAGCTTCTCAAAAATTAGGCGATGAAGCGAAGTTTAACTTGTTGCTTCCGAAATTGGGCAAGCAAGTCATCGAGCAGGTTAGCGATATTGTCCTTAATCCACCAGAAAAACATAAATATGAGACCTTGAAAAATCGTTTGCTCGCTGTGTACGAAGAGTCGGAGAACCGACAGTTCCAGAAGTTGCTGGGGGAAATGGAACTTGGCGATCAGAAGCCTTCTCAGCTTCTTAGGCGAATGCGGGATTTGGCTCGTAATAAGATACCTGATGAAACGCTGTGTATCATGTGGCAAGGACATTTACCCACGTCAGTTCGAGCGGTGTTGGCAGTTAGCGAGGTAAAGGATCTAGATAACCTTGCAGCTATCGCTGACAAAATTATGGAGACCACGAGACCTTTATATGCTGCTGAAGTAAATTGTCAAGCTGAAAAATCGGATGATACGTCATTTCTTATGTCGCAAATAGCCAAGTTAAGTGTGAAGGTCATGGAACTTGAGAGATCGAGACCAAGGTATCGAAGTACTCGATGTAATTGGAGGCGACGTACTACATCACGTGGACGTTCAGTATCCGAACAACGACGCCGCAGGTCCGAATCATCGAAATGGCTATGTTTCTATCATCACCGTTTCGGCGTTAAAGCAAAGAAATGTGTTGAGCCATGTGCTTGGAAGGAGCAGCCGGAAAACTAGACAAGGTGCAGCCAAGGGTGGATGTCTGCACCATATCGCCGTTCCACCGTTTATGCGTAATCGACTGCAAAAGTGGTTTACGTTTTCTTGTGGACACAGGTGCAAATATTTCAGTGTTACCGTACAAAAAACGACTCTATGACAATGTAGTTAGTGATAAATATAAACTTTATGCAGCTAATGGCAGTGAAATAAAGACATATGGTGTTAAATCGTTAGTGTTAAATTTAAATTTACGCCGACAATTTCGGTGGACTTTTGTGTTAGCGGACGTTAAACAGCCAATTTTAGGCGCAGACTTTTTAACCTATCATAAGCTTATAGTAGATTTATATCGTCGTCGACTTATTGATCAAATAACAAATATAGATACTATAACATCGATAGTGCAACACGATGAGTCATCTATTACTACGTTGGATATAAATAATAAATATTACGACTTAATGTTAGAGTATCCCGATATAACGAAACCTATTTGTTTCAAAGATACACCAAGACACTCTGTTGTTCATTATATTGAGACTACAGGACCTCCTGTATTTGCGCGACCCAGACCTTTAGCTCCGGACAAATATCAGAAGGTAAAATCGGAATTTGAAATCATGCAAGACGTGGGCATATGTAGACCATCGAAGAGCTGTTGGGCAAGTCCACTCCACGTAGTCCCGAAAAAAGATGGTGGTATTAGACCATGTGGTGATTACAGGCAATTAAATGCCATCACTAAGCCTGACAGGTATCCGATTCCACGCTTACAAGATTTTACATATTTACTGTCGGGTAAAAAGATATTTTCGAAGATCGATATAACACGTGCCTATCATTTCATTCCCATCAATAGTGAAGACATAGAGAAGACAGCCATCACTACGCCATTCGGTCTTTTTGAGTTCCCAAGGATGACGTTTGGGCTAAGAAATGCAGCTCAAACATTTCAGAGATTTTTAAATAACGTCGTACTTCAAAATCTTAATTTTATTTTTGTATATATCGACGATGTAATAGTAGCGTCGAAATCTGAATCCGAACATAAGGAACACCTTAGACTAGTATTTGAGCGATTTAATAAATATGGCTTAACTATTAACACTTCAAAATGCAATTTTGGGCAGAACGAAATAGAGTTTCTGGGATACCACGTTTCAAAAGATGGTATTAAACTCTTAGAACAACGAGTTAGCGCTATAATTAATTTTCCTAGACCTAAAACAATCGAGGAACTGAGACGTTTTTTAGGTATGATTAATTTTTACAGAAGACATCTTCCTCAAGCAGCAGAGATTCAGTCAAAATTAAATATATTTTTACATAACTCTAGAAAAAATGACAAGACAGAAGTAAGGTGGACAGATGAGTCAATTGCGGCATTTGAACAGTGTAAGGAGAGCCTAATCAGCGCCGTTACACTATCACACCCAGCTGCAGACGCGAATATAGCCCTTATGACGGATGCGTCTAAGACTTGCATTGGCGCAGTATTACAGCAACGTGAAGGCGACACATGGAAGCCTTTAGGATTTTTCTCCACTAAGCTGAGCGAAGCGCAAACGCGATATAGTGCTTTCGATAGAGAATTACTTGCTATCTATATGGCTATAAAGCATTTCAGATATTTGATCGAGGGACGCCCCTTAACAGTCTACACAGATCATAAACCACTCGTTTATGCTTTGAAAAAAAATTCTTATACAGACAGCGATACACCGCGTCGATTAAGACATTTCGATTTTATAATGCAATTTTGTTCGAATATTGAACACATTAGTGGATCTCAAAATATTGTTGCTGACACGTTATCACGAATTTCGGAAATTAATATGCCATCATACATCGACTACAATGCTCTTAGTGAAGCTCAGGAGAAAGATAAAGAATTACAAGTTTTATTAAAATCTAAAAATTTATGTTTTAAAAAGTTTCAACTTCATAACAGTCAAGAATCAATTTACTGTGAAGTTTCAAAACAATTCGCACGACCATATTTGACTAAAGAATTCCGAGTGCAGGCTTTCAACGCCGTACATGGATTGAGTCATCCGAGTATAAGATCAACTAGAAAGATGATATGCGATAAATTCTTTTGGCATTCTATGAACAAAGATGTAGCTAACTGGGCTCGAGCATGTATAGATTGTCAGAAATGTAAAATACATAGGCATACAATATCACCTTTTGGTAAATTTCCCACAAGCAATCGTTTTGAACATATACATATTGATATTGTTGGTCCATTACCACTTTACAAAGGATACAGATATTTAATTACGATGTTAGACCGAGCCACGGGTTGGCCGGAAGCTTTTCCCTTAAGAGACATAACAGCTGAGGCTGTTGCAGAGAAAATATATTCAGGATGGATTTCACGTTTTGGTTGTCCTTTACGAATTACGACTGACCAAGGAAGACAGTTTGAGTCGAATCTTATCAATCAATTATCTAAGCGCCTTGGTATTATGAAAGCTCGAACAACTGCGTACCATCCACAGGCAAACGGTGCTGTCGAACGTTGGCATCGATCTCTTAAGGCATCGTTAATGACTAGAGGAAACAATAATTGGGTTCAGGAGTTACCAACTGTGCTACTAGGCTTAAGAGCAAGCCTAAAAGATTGTACGCAAACCAGTGCAGCGGAGATGGTTTATGGCAGTCCAATTAAGCTACCCGGAGATTTTTTTGAGCCTACAACGCCACTAAATTCCGATAGCGAGACATTTTTAAAGCAACTGAGAGAACATATAAGTAATATTTGTTCAGTACCCAAACGAGAGAAATCACAGAAAAATATATTTGTTCACCCTGAATTGCAAAAATGCTCTCATGTATTTTTACGGTGCGATAAATTATGCAAGTCCTTAAATCCACCATATTCAGGACCATACAAAGTATTAGACCGTAAAGAAAAACATTTTAAAATATTAATGGCAGACAAAGAATCTACTGTTTCTATTGATAGATTAAAGCCAGCATTTTTATTAAATAATAATGAAGAGTTTGATACGCGGGATAGCACTAGTATCGAAATTCCAAACAAGGAGACACATGTAAATAATAAAGTAACGCGATCCGGCCGAATCAGCAAGCCAGTAGTAAGATTCCGAGATCAATTTATTTAAAATCTGCATCTTGGTGAAGCTATACACATTCACATTCTCTAATTATATTGCCAATAATTATAATGGGTTATAATCAGAGCAAAGAAGAAAAGAAGGAAGAAGTTATAATCGCCCAAATGGGAGGAAATAATACTTCGCAAATTTCTGAGTTAAAAGTTGATATATATTTCGGCTTATTATTTTTAATAATCCTTATGGTAATCACGTTTGGAATATACAGATATTGCCGAAGGAAATTTAGAGAGACTATAAGGAAGGAAATGCAGAGCATGCCAGATTTAACTGCTGCAGTATAATGTTTTAAGTGCCAGTGTACGTCTTAGTTAAAAAGTGCAAGTGTATACTGTATATGTTAAACACATAATTTCGAGTAGTGCAGTGAATAATTATGCTGAATAGGTAAAAAAATTCATGTTCGAAAAAATAATTTGTGATAGATGTAAGGAAACTGTAATAGCATGTAATTATGATATTTTTAGGTATTAATAATATTTTTTTTTGCAAACTATATTTTATGTTTAGAATTTAATTTTATACATTTTACATTTTTTTTTTGCGTTAAAATGTATTCATTTTTATATATTCTTAATAACTTTTATATATTATTTTTTTACCTTTTTAAAAAGGGGGGAATATTGTACCGATGTAACATGAGGTAATATGATTTGTAACGGGCATAATATATAAGTATAGATATTATATTAGATTATAGATCGAATATGTATCGATTGGACAGTCTCTCGCTTGGTCTCGCAAGTGCAATACGCACTTCAATAAACGCTTAATATTAAAGCTTTATTATTTTCTCCTCACGTCCGCCACAAAATTCAATCGGAATTATTATAAAAGAAGAAAGTTTTAGAAATGTGTAATATAGGAATTACTGATCAATTATAATTTATTTTTTGTTGTACTTACAGGCATTCCAGCCTTCTCTTTTTTGCTAAAGAATCTTCCCAAGGAACTCTTGATGCCTCTCTTCTTCTGCTGGTGCATAGAAGCTATGGAGACTGCGGACGCTGCCGCGCTCACTCCCCGCGGCAGCCCGGGGGACGCCCCGCCCCACGCGCCGCTCGGCGCCGGCATCCCTCCCAGGGACTCTTGGCTGGAGCTGGAGGGTTAAACATATTTGAACTCCTTCTATACTATGCTACTACAGATATATCATTGACGGACTTATGGATGATGTCAAATGTATGGATAAAGCCTTTATTATTTGGATTATTTGTGTTTTAATTACTAGCAAAAACTAGCTAATATCTATATATAGAGAATATATTTGTTTTCTCTCAATCCACCACATAATCAATGTTAGCAAATCTACACACAGCGTTTCAATATCGCCAAGTAAAAGTTCATAGCTGTGATATCCACTAAAAAAGTAGTTCTAATTTTAGATCAAAGTCCAAAAAAGGTTAGTTGATCTAGCACAATGGAATTACTATGGACAACTAAGAAGTTCAGGCGACTACGGGGCACAGTCACACGCCAACGTACCGTTTATACAGTTTGGTAACTCGTAACATTATCCTTGGAAATACGAAAAGACGATCCTTAGTAATTCCATTTATTTAAAAAATATAATAATTATTAAAACATTAACAATTTAAAAATAGTGTAATATGTTTTATATAAATAGTTAATAAACTATTTGCTCTTTAATATGGTTTAAAATATTTTTTTAATTATCTAAAATAAATAACGATTTCATATATCAATGTGTTACCGTATACAAAATATAGATAAAGAAAATACAATTTTGCGTCCTGCAAAAAATTTTCTCTTTTTTAACCTAAATAATAGAATATTTGATACAATCTGGCAACATTATATATAACTTGCTGAGGCGTAAGGATGGTATAACAAATAATTATTCAATATAGTATACAATTTCGATTTCAAACATATTTTATGTGGTGCGTAGTTATATAAATTGTCGGAGCAGTCGCACCAGATGTTAGCCAAATTATCGGACTGACTCCTTCTCGGGCTAAGTCTAGGCAATTGGTTAAAGATAGGTCTAAAGTTAGGAACTGACGAACACCTGTGTATGGGGATCCGGGCCAGGCTCCCTGACATTATTGAAGTCCTGAGCGGCGTGAAAATTTCAAGTAATATTAGATTTCATTAGACACTAACATCCTCCAAGTTTTTTTTAAATAAAAATCAATGAAATAAGTAAAAAAATGTATCAAAACTGTTTTTGCTTATCGAGTGCAAAATATAATCTACGTATGTCATTATAAAACTGTAGGTGTGTGTAAGGAACAAAAATTTCTTCAAAGATCACATAAAAACTTCTAAGTCAATTTTACTGAACATCTTTACTCAAAAAAGCCTTTGAACTTAATTTAAATTTATGTTCAAAATTTTATAGACTAGGTAAAGTGAAGATCGCTAGCTTAAAATATAGTCACCAAACAATTTTCAAGGCTGAAATACGAACTAACCAAAACGTATACCAATAAAAGTAAGCCACTCACGAGTCATACGGCGTCTGGTAGTGTGTCCGCAGGCGGTCCCTCTCGGCGTGTATGGCGCGGGCGGCGCGCTCCAGCCGCGCGCGCGCGCCCGCACCGCCCGCCGCGCCCGCACCGCCCGCACCGCCCGCCGGCGACTCCGCGCCCTCCGACACCACGCCCGGCATGTCTTCGCACAGTTGCAACTGGGGAACACCATCACACCAATCAACCGAACGTCATCAAACTCAAATTGAACCTAACTTACAAGGCTTCCAATGATTACAATAGTCAATAATCAGTGGTCAGGCTATGGTCAATAGTGAGGTTCAAACAATGGTCAATGATCAGTGGTCAGTCAGCGCTCAGTGGTAAGACAACAGTCAGTGGTCATACAATGGCCAGTGGTTGATATAATGATATCAGTCAATCATCTATCTAAAATTGAGCTAAATTGGAGCATTTAGCATTTTAGTCAACTCATGCTTTAATTGGGTTGTAAACAAAAAATAAACAAATGTGTACAGAATTTCAATAATAAAGCGTAAGCTTAATCAAATAATTGTTTTAATTAAAATATATAATATTATACTAGGGAGTATGTCTGTCTCTTTAGGGATACATAATTAAAGAAAAACAAAATCAATGATATACATTTTAAAGGAAATTGTTTCCTATAACATTTTTAAAATTACAAACACATATTAAATAAAAAAATTACATATCCCTATTAACATTATGCAATCTAACTAATTAAAAAAAACGGAAAAAAAGAAACACAAAACTATAATAAAAAAAGATACATACAGGGGGTTTCACATAACATATAGAATATAAAATTATCGATTTAGCATAATCCATACATACGTAGGAGGTAACTACCTAAGGTATATTACATTAGCGATATACGAGTACAACTCCCTGTCGTCAACGAAAAGCTGAAAAATGTCCACAAAAAGCTGCAAATAATTCGGTGATCATTGCAGGTATACATAACTTTCTTCAAAAATAAACGCGGTCAGCCTTAGCAGTGGGGTGCAGGGACTGGTCAAGGATAGAGGATAATATAGATAACAAACATAAGGAGAGAGGATAAGGATAAAGCATGTAAATCATAATAAAATCCGCCTTTAAGATGTTGTTGTTTTAAATCTGTACGCACATTTGGTTATTAGTATGTGTCAGTGGGATGTTAAAAAGGGTTTAGCCCTTTTTAACATCCCACTGCTGGGCACGGGCCTCTTCAATACGAGGGAGATCAGGCCACAGTCCACCACGCTTGCCAAGATTTATGTAAACTTTTCAGTTGATAAATTATGTAATATTATATCTGTAGAGGTTAAGAATACAATTTTATAATAATGTATATTGTGAGATTAAAATGATATTACATATAAAATTTTTCACCATCAAATCAATGTGGTATTTAAATACTAACGAGCAGTGCTGATGCATATGAGTTTGTTGGTGGTAGCTGCTCAGCATACGGTGTAGATTTCAAAAGTTAATGCGAGCTATATTTACATTTATTGCTATTACCATGACTTTAAAGTGCTTAGTTTCTAATGGAATGCAAGAATAATTAATTTGTTAGGTTAAGTCAGCGAGGATTTTGGCGGGCAGCACGAAGTGTGGCATCGAGGAAGAAATGGGGATTACGGAAGAAGTATGGTGAGTAGGGAGAAAAATGGGAGAGGGAAGTTGTTTTGTGAAGTTAGTGAGGAGTTTTGCAAGCAGCACCAAGTGTGGCGTAGAGAGGAATTAAGGAGGATAGTAGATAAGCATGGCGAGAGACATTGAGGTGAGTGAGTGAAACCAGTGAGGAGTTTGGCAAGCGTGGCGTAATGGAACGAAAAAGAAAGAGGGATAGTGGATATGGAGAGAAGGGGGCACATTTAGGGCTGGTGAGGTCTTTGAGTTCTTACCGATATGCATGTTTGGCAGGCATGGAGCATGACGTAGAGGAAACAACTTCCTTAGACGACATAAATGAAAAGGTTAGATGAAAAGCAATGCGAGTAGAACATTGGCGTGGTAGCGAGGAGGTTGGCAGGCATATAATTTAGCGTAGAGGAAGAAATTGGGATAAGGGAAGAATGGCGGCTTGGCCTATGGTCATTGGGGGTTGGTGGTTGGGGGTTCTGTGGTTTTTGAAGATTGGAGAAGCATAGGAGGTGGAGTGACTGTGGTTATTTTGTAGTTGGGAAGCCTGGGGGTTGGGTGTCTGTAGTCATTGGGGGTGTGGGGGGTTGGTATGGGGTGCGGGACCGACCTGGCTGGAGGGCAGGCTCTCGGAGGCGGGCGCGGCGCGGTAGTGCGCGTGCGCGGGCGACATCGACGCCGGCGCCTGCCCATACAATATTCATGTTTATCTCATTCGTTTCATTAATGTGATGACGACCTATGTCTTTGAATCATTTTTTTTTGATATAACACTTCATAAATATTGTCTGTAGCTTTGTTGTCAAAAGGAATATAAAGTATTGCAAACTAAACAAAACGGCACGAATTTTTTGCCTTAGCCTCAGCATTAGGCAGCCCGTACACTTGCATTGTTCTAAAAAAATAACAAGTACGAAGTATTCCTTAAAAATAACTTTGTTGATAAATCCCGTCATATAAAAACTGTAAAGATTGCTGTTTTTTTAATTTTCTTCGATCAACAAATAGATAAATGCTTTTTTCGTTCAGAAAATAATTAATGTTGGTACTTTTTACCAAAATAATTTTTTTAATAGCAAACATATTTTTTGCTTTTTATCTGAGGTTAATTTCACTAAGTTTCTTTAAAAATACGACAGCACATTCCTAATGTCGTTGTGTAGTATATTTAAATACTTTATGTTATTTTTATGATCTTGCTAGAGTGCCTTTATACTCAAGTAAAAGCTAAGCCATTCGTTTCTTAATTATTGTTATCGAATACTATTCTTATATTGGGATTAAATCAAGTAAAATTACGAAAGGTCTGGTTACTGCATTTCAGCTTATTACAAAAATGATTAAATTAACAAATTTAGCCTCAAGTATCGCTGTATTATTATAGATAATAATCATATTTGTGTATGAGTATTTCCCTTATTCTGCTTTTACATACATTCTTGTGTGTTTCTTAGAACCTGAGAAGATTTATACAAAACTGAAGTTGTGTAAGTGTGTGTGTACGTGTGTGTGTCACTCACGGTGTGGTACTTGTGGTGGTTGGGGCGCGAGGGCGAGGCGGCGGGCGGCGGCGACTCGGCGCGCCGCGACAACACGTTCATGTGCTCGTAGCTGCCCACCTGCGCGCACCGGACGTACGTACATACATATATGTTAAGTATAAACTGCCGAGTTACTCCGAATACCAAATATCACATTATATAATTAAGGATAATCAAATTTCTGATGGGAACGGAAAACATTTTGATTGCATAAATGACAAAAATAACATTAAAATTAATTTTCACAAGCAACTTATTAAGCTTCATCGTATCTTATGCGTCGCTCCAACTTATAGTCTACCTGTGCTCTAAAGTTCATAAAAATCTGTCCAGTCGTTTCAGCGCGAAAGAGTTACAAACATACACGCATACAAAAACAATTTATTTTATATTAGTAATTCAAGGCCTAAAACAGTTTCGATTCTCTAATTCGACACGTAAGCGTCACGCACCCTGGACTCCAGCTCCTCGGCCCTGGCCTCGGTGCTCTGCTTCTCCTCCTGGATGAGGCGTATCTCCGTGTTGATGGCGTCCAGCTGCTCCTGCAGCATGAGCGCCAGCGCCGCCGCGTCCGTGTGCCCGCCCTCGCCGCCCTCGCCGTCGGAGTTCTGTACATATAACATACAACGCTTGTATTCAGCCCTATTTAACGTCCCACTGCTGGGCGCGGACATCCCTTCAGTAAGAAGGAAATCAGGCCATAGTCCACCATGCTGGCCAAGTGCGGGTTGGCGGACTTCACATGTCTTTTGAAACTTTCTAGGTTCTCTCAGATATGCAGGTTTTATCACGATGGTTTCCTTCACCAAGTGTTAAGACAAGTGGTAATCATGTTGGAAATATAATTATACAACGCTTACTCAACGGGATTAACAGGACTTAGACAAGGACAACTTGATGAGACATATATTCAATTGCTAATGACCCACACGGTACAACAAAGAATAATTAAAATATTTAAGTTAACTATGAGCAGTGAAGTCGTTGTAAGGAAAATGAGGTTCTTTTCAAACTGGTGGTGGACTAGTGACGTCCAGTATAAAATTGTAATAATTTAATGTTGAATAAAATCATTTAAATTTAACATATAATGTCACTAATATCCTATCTGACCTGAATCGATTTACCCATTTAACATCCTACTGCTAAGCAGAAACAAGCCTTTAATGCGAAAGGGATCAGGCCATAGCCCAGTTCCGGAGTTTGGACCCGCACTGCCTGTCAGCAGTAATAACCCGTAAAACACTCTACTAACATAGATGTTATAAATATAAAATATATTCTTGTACCAATAAGTGATCTCAATGCAAAATAATGTAAATCCTGGAGTCTCACATAAAAGGACAAACGAACAAAACAATCTTCAGCAGCTTTAGAGGAATAGAAATTATGTTTATTGACCATAAGAATAGATAGATAAGATTTTAATTAAAATCTAACACAAAAAATGGAAAGCCACTAAAGAAGAGAGTAAAATACATATGCACGTACCTCGGCGTCGCTCGCCACGTCGAAGGCCTGCTGCACGTTGGCGAGCACGTGCGCCTGCTGCAGCTTCTCCCACGACCCGTCCAGCTGGCGGCGGTGTTTGTTTGTACACTTATTTATGTATATATCTATTTGTAATCGACAAAATCTATGCAAGACTCTTTTTACGCACTACATATCATAAATTAAAGCTCCCAGCTATGCTTAGTTTGGATTTACTCGGGTTAATCTCAGAAACTATTGTACGGAGTTTGATACGGTTTCATCGATAGAAAAAGGGATTATCTAGAAAGATTATAATTTATGAATATTTTGCGAAAATAAACTACCTTTTTAAATGTTTCAGAATTAAATCAGAAGCCTTCTGAGAGCTTCTGTAAAATCATAAGTGCGTTTCGGGTTTGTGTTCTAGTTATGTTTTAACGTTTAGATTTCTCAAAGGTGAGATATTTTCTCGCAGTAAAAAGCATCCTACATATATGTTGGCCCGGTAACCAGCTACTATCATACTAAATTTCATCAAAATCTGTCCAGTGGTTTTCTTGTGATGCAGTCACAGACAGATAGGCATACAGACAGACAGACAAAGGGACAAAAATTCGAAAAAGTATAGATTGAGCCACTGTATCGATAATAATGACTATTTCAATAAGATTTTCTATAAAATATTTAATATACAGATTCGACTTAGAATTTTATTATATGTATAGATAGCAAAAAAGAATTATTTGTTAAAAAAAATGATGAACCTTGGGCGGGAACAGCGCGACGGGCGGCAGCGGCTGCGGCGCGGCCGGCGACAGCGAGCGCGTCAGCGCGTCCGTCTGCTGGATGTTGAACGCGATCTCCGCCTGCAGCATCTGCCGCTTCAGCTGCAAGTTTTATACCAAATATCGATCAAAAAACTACTACATACACAATCAGCGACAAAAAATATCCTCACCGAAAAAGCAGTCATTTGAACATTTGAGCACGCTTTTAATATTTTTTTGTTGTGAAAACAACTTTGAGCATTGCGTTTTAGGTTCAATTTACATTGTTGTATATTTATTTTACCTAAACACAATTAATAGGTGACAGTTTTAAGAGAACTTTTGAATATATGTGTATCTAGTACTTTTTTGATCGATGATTCCAAATATCTTATTCAGTATCCATCATCATCATAACATTCAGCCTGCTTTTGTCCACAGCTGGACATAACCACTGAGCTAGATCCTAAGCTCTACACATCCAACCACTGCCAGCCACTTTACGTTTGCCAGCGCTCCATCTAGCTGGAGAGCGTCCTACATTTGCCGGGCCGTTATTAAAATTAAATTATTATAATTTTTTACTGAATGAGCCTGTCACCAGTTTGGAAAAAAAGCCTCAGTCCTAAGAAGATTTGGGGAAAGGAACTTTTTATTAGTAAAGTTATAAATTACAATAATTCTATAATATTAAAGTAGTCTGGAGGCAATAACATTAACCCCAAAACGTGCCATCTTCTATAAAATAATTTAATGTATAATAACTGTTTTTCAAAAAACATCTGTAACAATTTTCTTGAAAGCAAAGAAGCATTTTAAAAGTAAGTAGTTAAAGTTGTATGTCAACTGTAAGTTAGTTCAAAATTTGCACACCGTCAAAGTCTGAGAGCAGGGTCTACGGACCAATATTTAAAATGTGTTGTTATACTATATATGAGTATATAGTATATATGTATAACAGTGTTTCATATTTTTCTCAATTGAGTGGTTCTTATATTAAAATTGTGATTAAATATTAAAATAAATAGTTGGTTTTGAAAAGTGTTTCTTTCTGAGCCATTTCTTTTTACAACAAGCTCCCACCTGTTCCGTCTCCATCCTCCACTTGGCTAGCTCCTTGAGAATCTCTGACTTCTCCTGGATGAGCTCGTCCGCATACTTCCTGGTCTTCTCCAGCTCTTGCGTCAGCGCGTTCTTCTCGTCCAGGGAGTGCATTCTCTCTTTCAGGTGGACTTGCAATCTGTTATATATTCATTATTATTTACTTTTAATATTTGCTTTACAGTTTCATTTAGAAAATTACATAAAGTCTTTTTCAAACTAAAGATTAAAGTTATTAAACAAAATAAATAATATAAAAGTTTAAAAAGTAAATTTTTAGTAAAATTTAACATACTGATTTGTTCATAGCAAAGAAACCTAAAGGGTACAGACTACAGACATTCCAAAGTAACAAAAATATTATTTTAAATAAAACTATCTTTTCGCATTATTTCGCAGATTTATTTTGATTTTTGGTTTCCGACGTTTCGAATGCTAAATCAATCAAGGTCACGGGAGAGTAAGGTTTTAGACATCTCAAAGGCTTTATTTATATACTTGTTACAGACAGTCTTTAGTTTCCCCAAATCAAACATTCGCGTAAATCTAAGAAAGTATTAAATCGATATGATATAAAAACCCCACCTATCATTAGATTCAGACAGTAGTTTATCCACAGTGGCGGAGAGCCTGGTGTTGTGTTCCTCGTTCATCCTCAGCCGCTGGTTCAGTCTCATCAGCTCTGCGTTCTTCTCTTCCACGCTGGCCTCCAGTCTTTGTATGCGGTCTTCTGCGGAGCCGTGCCGCTCCTGCGCCTGCGGGACATAAGAGGGGGTAGGACTTAATGACTTCTTTACTTGTATATATAACGAATATAATTTGCATGTATTAATCGATTTTTCATTCGAGTTTGTTGATGAAGTTAATAAAAAAAATATGATTAATTTTATATCCGTTGTAAAAGGAACACCGAATATGAGTCATAATCGCACAAAAAGAAAACAATATATTTATACAGTTTTTTACAATATTTTGTTAATATATACATATATATCATTAAAAATCAAACTATCTACACCGTCAACTACTTCGAACCCACTCAACTCTACCTCAAAGCACGTGACAGATGGAAGTGAGTCTAGACCATAGACGTAAAGAATTGATTGAGCATACTCTCATGAAATTGACCACTCTCTAGAAAGAGAGAAAGCGAACGTGCGGCCAATACCTGTATTTTATCCAAATTAGAATTTATAAATGGAATGAAAAAAAGAATATTTATAATATTACATTGAGATAAAAAATGGTTATAAATATCTATCTTCATTATTCGTATTTCAATTAATACGAAAGACTTCTGTCCACACATTCGTTTAGTCTCTGTCGCGTTTGTCCGACATTTTAAGCTGACGGCTGGCGATGAAACACTCTGTCCACTCTCTATGTCTATGGTCTATATATTACAGCACTGATATAAAATCGGGTATTTGACAGCTCACAAAATAGTCATACAATGAAATTAAACGATTTTTAGTAACTAGCGATAAAAGAAATTCATTTATATTACTTATTTCAAATACCCCAAATTTTATTTTAACTCTGAGACAGGCGATAACGAGTGAAAAAAAAAATCGAAAAACAATAACTCGATTTTTTCACGAATCATATTTCACCAGAAAAAAAGCAATTATTAAATCTCTAATATTTCCGCGTAAATACAACAAATTATTCTATATAGATATCAATTTTATAGATCAATCGTAGTCGCCGTGTCATATCCTCACCTGGTTGAGAGCTTCCATCCTCGCCTTCAACTGCTCCTCCATTTCTGGCAAAGAAGACATTTGCGCCAACTTCTGTGTGGAAAGTTCTAGCTTTTCTTCTATCGCTGCGATCTTTTCTTCTTGGAGCTGAAATTGTTTGATGATTATGTGGTTACGTTGAATGGATTGCGTCTATTTACTAGTGGGTTTGTTCTCATGTGATATGTTACACGCTTTGTACAAAAATCTAAGTCAATTTTTATAATAATAATATTATACAAAAAGGTAACAAAAGTTTAGATTTAACTTTAAACTATTCACTCGAGCATTATAGTCTACAGTCTACCACGGGTTTTTTTAATGATTAATAACCAACAAGTTAAAACTTCACGAGTAACTTTAATTTAACGAGACACCCAACTTTTCTTTCTAAGATAATTTGATAGTGGTAGATATATAATTGATAGATTGGGGGGACGATTTGATCCAAACCATCTGTTTTGTAGGACAACTTTTTTTGTTTAATGTTGGATTATCTCAAGATTAAAATGTAAAACAACCTGTTAGTAATAAACATTGGACATTCACCATATCGACGTGTTCAATCGAATTGTATCAACCCACAATTGTATCTACTACTATCAAATTTTCGTAGTAATAAAAGTCAGGCGTCTCGTCCAAACAAAGCTACTCCTGAAATTTTAGCTTAATTAAAATAAAATTATATTTTCGGGATTTTTCGCGGATTTATTTTGATTTCTAATTGCCGACATTTCGAATGTTTTACAACGAAAAATCCGAAAAGATAGTTTTACTTAAAATGTAAAATATTAGCATAAATCTAAGAAAGTGTTAGCTTGTTACTAATCGTTAAAAAAAACCGCGGTGGACTGTAGATTATTACTCATAAATATATATATATAGCAACACAATGTAAATCAAATTGTGTGCTATTCAAATTCCCAAATAGTACTCGTTAGTATAAATCATAAAACACGTATCACACGACACATGAGGCAAAGTAGAGACAATGTGAATGTTAGTGGGGGAGTTGATTTGATCGTGTGTGTGGTGGTACCTTTAGTTGTTATTTTCATGACGTCAAACGGGTTATTTATAGAGAGAAGTACTCGAACTCGAAGAAGTAAGAAAGTGAAAGATATGGCAAATATCTCGTTTTCACACCATAAAAGTCAATGACCATGATAGGTTATGGAGATAGATATATAGTGCTACCTTAAGTTGTGCCTGTTTGTGTTGTAACTCTTGTTCCAGCTTCTCGTTCAAATCATGCAGAGAAGTGGACTCGCGCTGCGCGTTGAGATATCTCTTCTCGAGCGTCGTTATTCTTTCCTCCTGAAATAAAACAGACGAGATTTTTATTAATTTGAGACTAATTCTTTAATACGGTCCGTTTTTATTGTTCCTAAATTTAATAAAGAATATTTTCAATTACATATTATATATTTTTCATATTGCTTATTTATAAATTATTTAGAACAGGTATTTTTGACAAATATCATATTGGTATTTTTACAGTTTTACAGTATACTAGTAGCAGTACCCGCGGCTTCGCCCGCTTTAAACTTCCGATCGCTACCAAACTTCACAGGATCACCCATCGGCATAATCTGAAGATTACCTAAAAATTTTATCGAAATCGCTCCAGCCGTTTTGGAATCTATAGGGAACATCAATCAACAACAAACATCGATTTTTATTTATATATAGAAAATTAGTATTCATTATACCTGATCCTCCTTTTGGGCGACATTCTCTCTCAAATCCCTCTGTAACTTAGCGCACTCGTCCTGTTTCTTCACCAACTCCTTCTCTCCTTTCGACAGTCTTTCTTCTAATTCGGTCACTTTATTGTTCAGTTCCGCGACTCTCCGCTGCCATGAGCTCAACTCGGCCGACTGGAATTTAGGAATATCATATGGATTAAATATAGCTTAATTACTATAGCGTACATAGACGTAACTGGAAAGTATCAAACTAATTAAATTTTGACAGTAAAAAACTTCTTTTTTTTTTTTGGGCAAAAACAGTTCAATGTACACAAACATTTTTAATATTTCAGTTATTCAAACGTCTGATAAAAATATTATGGTATATTTTTAGAAAATATAATACTTAATTCTTCAAGAGTCAATACCTGAAAAAAACGAACTATAAAAATTGCCCTTATATTAAAAGAACCATAACATATAATCTGAAAATCAACTTCTAGTTACGTCTACACTCAGTGCGTTAGTACATGATGTGATATGATATAAAATGTACTAATAAATATATATATATATATATATTAATGTATCTGTCCGTGGTTATGGGGGCAAGTGTTAATAGTCACAGACAAAGATGGCGGTTAGTACCACTACAAGTAATACCTCATGCGCAACTGGTCATGCAATTCAAATAATGACATTTAATATATAATAGCATTGTTTTTAATGTATGGTCTTTGAAAAGTAGAGTATAAATTATTTTCGAGAGTGAATGTGTATGTTCAATGTTTGAGCTATAATATGGATTTGTTTAGAAATAACAAATATATTACAACCAATTTACCTACAAACAAATACATTTCTAACGATACATATCGTATGTACGATGCATATTTTATATATCATATAGTAATAAGCTATGATATTACCATGCAAATTCTTATATGTATAACTTACTAAGCTAACTACATATATATGTACATATAAGCTTCCATTTCCGTCGAAATTGTCTATGGTTATATATTATACGGTTTTATTATAGTAAAGCCTTTTTAAAATCATTATAAAAAAATAATAAGATATATATACAAACAATCAGCTTCAAATGATATATGAATATTTATAATCTGTTACAATAGTTATATTTAATCTGTGAGCAAGATGGCGCTGACCTGCTTGGCGATCGTGTTTTGGAGCTCAGTGATTTTCTTGCCTTCCGATTCACCGTTAACACTACTTTGTTCCTGCGGCCACCATCAAAATAACGTATATATATTTAACGTCCACTCGCACTAAGGATAACTTATTTTTTTTAAATGTTATCGTACTCTTTATGTTAAAAGTAGTAACATTTTCCAAATTTACTATGACATTCGAAAAGTAAAATATCTGTAATATATCATGGAAAATACTTGCTTGTTCATCTGCTAATTGGTACATAATTATATGATCTAACATATTGGCTATTCTCATATCAGAGTGGAGCTGAATATTCAACGTTAAGGCAAAATAGATAGTAGATACGTTCTATAATAAATCTGTCCATTGTATTTTAATAATATTATCTTTTTCCACAATGCGAGAAGACGTTGTCATGCGAACTATCATCGTTTTGCCAAGTCTATGCAAAACTTCTAATTAATTTCTTTGTTTTACCCAATCCTCTTAAGCGCCCGCGGACTGCAGACTCCCTATCAGCCGATAGTCTAGTTGGTTTTGTGGTCAGTACTAAGAAATACTCGTAGCTTAATAAAACCTTTACAATACTAGCACTTGCATGCACCTATGTACATACATATCTTAATGTCGGTGGGAGGAAAGACTTAGTGAGTTCTTTACTTAGACATTTCTTGATTTTTCATTTGAATAAGTTAAAAGAGTACGAATTTTATAATCTTTGCAAAGTAATTTACAACGGATGTGTCATAATTGTGAAAAATCTTCATTCTGATTATAGAATGAGACCAAACTATGTACAGATAGAAAGTCCGCGGAGACTATTGCAGGCAATGACTATAACTTACTTTTTTTACTTAGTGAACTGGGTAAAACGCTGTACGGTCTAAAACATGACATATCTACACAATCATTCACGAAGCTCCTAACAGTAAAATTACATTTTCACTTCAGCCTGTGGTGTGAATGTTTTGTGTAGTATTAAAATAAAAATAATTATAGTGAGATCAATCATTCAAAATTCTATAATCTCCGAGTGCGAGTTATCCAAAATGCTAAAGCGGAAATTATAAGACTCTTAGTTGTCAAATTGTTTACTTTATTTAGAAAAAAACGGGGAACGAAGGAATATTTGGAATTGTGTAGAACATAATAGCTTTAGTCAGTTCGTTCCACATTGTTGCAATTTTCTATCGGCTGGCCGGATTTTCTTCAAGATAACTTTTAAGCCTAATGTGTACATATATGCACAAGTAAAATTTATCTCTGTACAAATTATGCCACAACGGGTAGACATATTATATAATTAATCGGATTATAAAACTTCAAGATCTTTACTCAGCACTTCGTTATAGGGTTAAAACTTAGCCATGAGCTTGATTACTCTTAGATGCTCAGATGAATAAGCCTAACAGAATCAGTGATATTAGCATTTTGGATAAGAAACAACTTCTATAAGTCCACTCAATAAACTTTAATATCATATTACATACATGGTGGCACCAATTACATAGAAATGCCTTCAAAGAACTAAGCGGAAGGTTTTTTTTGGAGTAATTCTTAGTCGTAAATGTTGATATAAACTAATAATAAATGAGTACATTTGTCTACCTTAGTTTGCTGCTCGCCATTCTCGGGCGAGCCAGTTTGGACCGTGCCGTTCTCTTTGGGCTTGTCGCCCTCTTGCGTGGTCGACGCTTTGTATTGCTGTAACTGTTGCGAAAGAGGATATATTATACCTGATACCAAGTTGAATAATAAAACTAGACCCTAGAAGTAGGTGAAAATAATTCTATTTATATAATCGATTAGAGAGTGAATGTTAAAAAGACATAATGAACATTTAAAATGTATAAGTTAATAATACATAATTTAGCTTTCAATAACATTTCCACAGTGCGAGGGGGAGTATTCCAAAGTTTGTCTTTCGAAGAAAAAAAGAAAGTTAGGTTCTCTCAGACATTCATGTGGTAACCATTTCAGAAATGGATACTTCCGTATAAAACTTTCATGACTTTTCGTGACCCGAAGTTCGAATCCATTTCACTTTGTTCACAATGTGTTATCACTATTTATATATAAATGAGGAATCGAACCTACAAGAGTTCTAATACGTGTATCTTTGCAGGAAAAAATAATTAAAAATCTAAAATGTAGCGTTTGGGCTTTTAAGTCTCATATATGTCAGAGTTAAATCTTATGTTAGTATTTGGGTTATTTTAACGTACTTCTTCTTTGGTTAATGCCAATTCTTCTTCTAACGACGTATTCCTTTCTAGCGCAACTCGCAATCGTTCTCGAACCTGAGAAATACAACAAAAATCAAAAGTTTTTATTTAGCACGGACATTATACTACTCTTATGTATTAAAATTTAAAGGTCTAGTAGAGCTTTAACCCCGCCATTTCAAAAGGCCTCAATTATAAGGAAAATAGGAAGAGATCGTGTAACATATGTACAAATAGGACATTACTGAAATTTGTCCTCGTTTTGTGAAGACAGGCAAAAATATTAATATTTAATATGGGCAAAGTATAAATACGAATGGCAACACTAACCTTCTCGTCGAGCGCCTTGTGGTGTTCGAACAAGCTTTTCAAAGCTTTGAGCACCTCGACTTCCGAGGACACCCCGGACTGGGCGGCCGCCTGCCTCTTGACCACGGTCATGCGCAGCGAGCGCTCGTGTCTTGAGACGAGACATTCTAGGTGCTCTAATAGCAACTGCGAAAATAGGAAACGTATGATAACTCACCGAACGTTTAAATAGGTCAAAAGTGTAAGAATAGCATATTCCACATACTAATATACTAATATGGTTTCGGAAAAGGTAAAACTTTAGTAAGAGTATGCTTTACACGTTAATTTAACTTATAGGTCGTGTTATAAATGTAATATTTAAGTTTCGATTTTTCATCTGCTAATCATGTAAGAAATTTACTTAAACCTAACATAATTGGTTATATTTTCTCCCTATTACCAGCCATAAACTGGTGTTAAATTCTCTTAAATTTCTAAGATGTAAAGAAGAACTATGTTTAAAAGTAGCAATATGCAGCTGGCTTAACACAATTGCTCTAACGTTCGAAATTCAGAAACCGAATCATCAACTCTGAAAAGAATCCTCAACTTTTGGCGAGTCTAGACGGGATGCATCTTGAATTATTTATGTACCCAGCATCTCACCGCAAAGTGCCAAAAACTTACGACGCCATAACTCCGCGCCTCAGTGAATTGTGTCGTTGTCAGCGGATGAGCAAATAGGCCTCGTGTCGAGCAGTTTTGTGATATTTTCGGGTGTGTTTATTGCGGAAGTTGTATTGGGTATTAGAGCCGAAAACTGGGTGAGGTTATTATGATGAGCGTAATAAAGTTTGATGAAGTATCGGTGTTCGCAAACAAAAAAGTAAGCCACTAAAATAGGTTATTATATCATTATGTAAGAGAAGAATATCATTTGAATTAGTAAATACTAATAAACAAAATACTCTACATACTCTGGTATTGTTTCTTTCCGCTTTGAGCTCCGATATTTCTTCTTCCCGTTCTAAAAGCTGCTCTCGCGCCTGGTTCAACTCCTTCGTGAGCGTAGCGAATTCCTGTAAACATTTATAACTTTAATTATTTTTTTTACATTAATGATATATCGTATTTTATGTTCTTATTCTTATTATTTATTTTGCGGCTTAAAAGTGTTTTGTCAGTTGGTGACTGTTTACTTCACCAATGTCGTGTAGAATGGAGAAGACATGATGTAGATACTTTAGATAACATATAAAGCGACAATATAATTTGAAATCAAAGAACTCATAATTAAAAATGTTTTTGCTGCTTTTAAGAAAATATACCACATTCCCATGTCCTCGACCCATTACTTAAGCTTCACGCCACAATCAATACCGTAGCTGTGTAGTTTCTTCTTAGCTAGACGCATATATTGTGAGAATTGAAATAGAAGAAAGTCTGGGAAGAAAATGAAGAGTGCTTCTGTACATCAATGACTTAACGATTTATGTCCAATTCTGATATACATCTTCTTAACTGCTAAATAAAAAGTGACATCCGAAAGAAAACAATCCAAACAAACATTTTAAACGTTGAACAATTACATAAGTAAAACCTATTGGGAAATGTCGCAAAAAATATACATTTGCCAAAAATTTTATTACAGACGTGTACAAAAAATGAATGTATTGGCAATAAACTACGAAGGAACCAGTGAAACAATACAGTTGAAGTCACCGTTTTACTGTCCCCACACACGCGATACCTGCCCAAGACAGAACAATGAACACCGGACTTTATTGCTTTGTACCAATTTCGAAACGCCATTTTCGTCTGAAGCTACATATAAAAACCAATATAGCATATGCAGATCTTTTGTATGCGCAATTAAAAAAAATAAACAATAATAACGAATCCTTTCTTACATTCGAAGTTTCCACAAACCAACCTAGACTTTATAAAAAGCTTCCATGTGCCGCCTCAAGACAGCGGTTTTCAGAGAAAATGGCAATAGAAATGTCATTTAAAAGAGCTCAAAATAGATAAGAATACATCGTCTCTGTTTATTGTTTCGTTACCTTCGTTTATTCGGGCAGCCCTTAAAAGTGCCGTTGTAAATATTTGAAACGCAGATCAAATATTCTTCCAAACAATTTCGCTTTTGGAGCTAAAGTTTATTTTTCCGGATACTTTTATTTCCTCGGAAACTTAAGGCGTGCGTAGAATCTATAATTTACCCTCAGCTTTCGAATAACACTCTTAATAAAGATACATTTTTACGCTTGAGCGAAGTTTAGTTGGAGGGTATAAAGTGGTTTTCCATTTACAGATATTACATAAAAGCTTTATGCCATCCTCAAGCTTTTTCAAATTCTTAGTAAACACGTAGTATATAATGTGAAGTAAATCGTAGTAAATAATATTGTAAGAGACTCAAGCTCAGCGTCAGTATTGGCTTTTTACATTCTATAAGCTCTCATTAACCGCTAAGCTTAATTTATTTAATATCGTTCGAGCGGAAACAGCACCTGAGACCACTTACTACAAATGAGTATTAATAAGTATTAACAACTACATTATTTCATTTTATTCCAATAACTACTTTTTCACTGTATTAAAGGATAAAAAGCTAGCTATTGAATTATAGTAAAAGCAACAAACGTGATTCAATCCTGTTAGAATATAAAAGATAATAATAAAACAAACGTTTTAAAAACGGTTTCATACTAATCCTAAAGCGTATAAGTAGAATACGACAAGGAATAACCAGTAAAAAGTGTACAAGAAACAATAATCTCTCTAAATATATTCCCCCCGGAGGCTGCGATGCTGTGCTCTGAATGAGCTGTATTGACAACATTATGACTATTACATTGTTTACGGTTAGTTCATTCCGCTGTTTGGGTTTCTACTGCGAACTAAACTAGGAACTTATTGTACGTATTTTATGAATGTGATATGGCATTTCTATGCATGATGTAACATAAAGAATGGTATTATTATTATGAATGCACAAATATTTTTGTACATTTATAGCTTTTTACACATCGTCTTCTTTTCATCTCATTTCTTTATTACAGATCAATATCCTTTTACTTGTGACAGTTACAGTGAATCAAATAAACAAAAACGTAATTTATTCCCATAGGTGTTATTTATTTAGACGATTTAGTGGCTATTATACCTTAAGTTGTAATATGTTTGTCAGGTTCTTAGAATTTTATTTGACAAACAATAATAAAATAATTCCAATTAAACTTTTAAATTATTTTTTTTGGGTCAAAAAAGGTATTACTCAAAATCGGAAATATGAAACATTTAATACCACGTATTCCAATAATTCAATATTAAACGTGGACCACAGAAACTTAAGACGAGAAATCTTACAACGTGTTCATGTAAAACTACCCTGAGACGTTTTCTCGTGTATAGTCACTAATTAAAGGACCATTTTGATCTCGAGTACTATCTCTTAAGCATCTACCTGTTGCATTCCAGTCTCACCAGTTGATCATCTAGTCTACAGCGGCTTGTAAAATATACTCATTACGAAAACATTGAGGGCGACGTATAAAATGTGGAAATTTGGCAGTTCTAAATAAATGTTATAACGTACTCGTACCTTTACAAAATCATCGTCGGTCCACAAAATGACATTTTGAGCTCTAATTTTTTTTAACATCACCGTCTTGAGTAAAAACAAAAAAGGAATATGTACGTACATATACGTAATAATTTCTAGCCCTCTATTTTACAAAACTTTAGATACGATTTGAATGACCAAGCCCTATAAAAAAAATAGCGTCGCGTTTTCTAGTTTAATTTTTCAAATTAAGTAAGAACATTTTGAATAATTACTAAAAAATATTAAAATAGCTATTTTATACCAAAAATGTGGTAAATTAAGTCTGCGCTTTCCAACATCTCTTCAATCGCAGATGTCATGTGTCCAACTTTCACTGTGCTGCACTTGCATTACAAAAATACAAACTTTAGACGTTACAAAAAATATGAAAAAACTAATATAATATTTCTCCTAAACTAACATACTACTTTATATTACACATACATACGTGGCATATAATCGAGTAATTATAACTACGTTTTGCTATGAAATAGATACAAATTAAATTAAAAGCTCCTATGCTATAAACAAAGCTCTATACCCGTTCTGTTAATTGAACCAACCGAACTGCGCCGATATAACTACATTATGATTAACAACGAACATACTATCAAGGGGTAAAACGTATATTTGAGGTGTGTGGAGTGAAAATTTCAGTTAGCGAGGACGAAACACTATCGGTTATAAGCCAAATCAATTTCCAGCCGTCAAAAAACTTCACAATTTCAATCATTTCGTTCAGATTGTGGGAAGTGCTTTAATAAACTTCATTTGGCTTTGAATAAACACCACCACCACCACCACCTGCGTAGACGTATTTAATACAAAAATACATACAAATAGATGTTTCAAAATCGTTACATTCGTAGCACTTTTTATTAGCAAATTTTTTCATAACGACGATTTATCTCGAGCTTACCCGAAGAAATTTCTTTAATTTCAGGCTCAATAAACAAAATTTGTAACACGTCTGAGTTTACCTCAGAAAACCCAAGTTGAGGATATCCGGCATAGAAAAAAACGTTTAATTCCGAGCCAACTTGTATTGCAAACGAACAGTAAGCAATCGTGCCGTAGAACACAGCAGCTTAAGCAAAGATTTCTAAAAGCGTACTGCGGTTGACCCCGCCTTGACTTTGGCAAGTGGAAGGCTAGTACCTATTAGAGAAACACGTGGTGCATAGAATTCGTTTACATAGCCGGTGTTTTTAACTCTTTGAAGCTGAAAAGTTGACTTGACCCGCCGTGAGCCCGCGGCGGCTGAAAGCCTTGAAATGATTGTTTTTGCTTAGAAATTGTCTTAAAAAGTAGTGCGAAATGCAGCTTCCTATGGATATTCATGTATTAGATATTAATACGTTTTTTTAGGCGAAGGTTGTCAATTCGTCGCGATTTTACAATTTTTCTTTTAATGTGGTGGTCGTAAAGAAGCTTTTTAAAAGTTACATTGTAAAACTGCCTACTATAAGCTTTAGTTGTAAAATGAGAAACTGATTCTATAAAACTGAAAAGAAGGCCGACCGTGTTGAAAACTGTTTATATTTACCATAGAGAAAAAAGTTTACTTTACGTCCATATATTTATTTATATGAGTTTGACGTTTTCTTATCCATATACCATATAATTCTGTTTGTTTTATATTAAATATTGAGAAAATAGATCTCGCAATGAGTTTTCGATGGACTCAGCAACTGATTCAATTTTGCCAATGAAAACCAAATACGGGGAGGATTGAAAATCAAATGATAATAATGACAGTACCATTATAGACTATTTGCTCAATTTTAAATATAACATTTTTTTTCTGATAAGCTAATTTTTAAACAATTTAACAAATTTAAAAAAAAATGCTTCTTTGACAAGCTTTGCCACCTTTTCTCACTAACCTGACTGACCCATGACATTATAGGAGGAAGCCGTCAAAACGCGATGATAAATAATTTATAACAAGTATTTTTTTTAGATTTTGATTCTGACAGATTTTAACAGATTCCATAATTTACAAACAATACATCATTAATAAAAACAGGCAAAACCACGAGGAACAGTTGGTTGATTTTATATTAAATATCATATTTTTTCATTTCAAGCGAAAGTAATATACACTTAATCTCAAGAAGTGGTATAATGAGAGGACACATTTAGGACGATAAATGGGCCTCTACCTGAAGTGAGTCCTAGCTTACCGAAGGCTATTTTTCTAGCTCTATCCTGACAGGAAATTGCGTTTAGACCCTATATGTGCTAATCTTAACTTAAGATGATTGATGTTGTACTTGATAGCAACATTTATTAGGCATAGATTCAGTATTTTGTGTGATGAATGAGTGTTTGTAATCCAGTCATGGGTGTTTGTTTATATTTATAATTTGTATGTATTTAAAGTTATATATGTGTAGTATATCAACTATCTGGTATCTATAACACAAGCCTCGTAGCTTACCATGGAACTAGATGGTGCTGTTTGTTAATGTCCCAAAAAAATAAAATATAATGTTATGTTATATAAATGTTATGATTTATATGGGAATTTTATTGTTTTAAATTTATCCAAAATATATTATTTAAATTATTGTATTTGCTTTCTGTCTGTTGTTGTTTATATATAAAAACTTATAATAGTAGTCACCTACTTTTAATACTTAACGTTGTTCTCAAACACATTGTTAACTTCATATGATATTATATATATCCATAATTTTCCGGAACAAAATTCTTGTCACAGTCAGCAACTCCTTCGAATACCTACCTGAAGTAATGCGGTGTGCACACGACACGTGCATACCGCGCCGTTCTTGCGCGAGCACGGCGCGCCCAGCAACGCGCACGCGCCGACGCGTTGCATTGCGCGCGCGCATCCCTCCGCAACCGCACACTTAATCTAACATCACCACTTTAACTTTCACCAAGTTCTATAGTCCCGCACATGTTCACACTAACTCCCACAAGGTGGACCGACGACTCGGTCAAAGTCGCTGGAGCCCACTGGATGCAGATGGCACAAGACAGGCAGTCTTGAGAACCTTTGGGGAAGGCCTATGTCCAGGAGTGGACGTGTTTAGGCTGAGACGACATGATCACATCCACTGGTAGCTTGACGAAATACCGCACGATACATGTGTACTTATTTATATTCGCTATCATTTTCTCATTGTAGTTCTCATTTTCACTTTATTAAACTCTTCTTTCTATTAATAGAACGTAATATCCTTAAAACATAGATTTATTATATTAATTCACTTAAAAGTTCTAAGAATTTTTGCTGCTATTTTGATTTAAGAAAAAAAGGAAAAAGTTTTTATTTCTTGAGGTAATAATTATTTCTAATATATATGTAAATACATGAGTAGAATCCGTCAAGAACATCGTTCTTTTAAGCAATCCCGCGTGTATCGTCACGACCGCTTCGCGTCGTTCAATTTTCTTTTATGTCTTATACTTTTTGCTGTCATGCATCAACCGCCTACCTTTATGAGAAACGTAAACAAAAATCGATTACTAAACTAGTCTCGTTATACATAAGTAAAACAAGATGTGAAGGTTTAGGTAACGAAAATAAATTACACCATTTAAGATAGCGTCCTAGCAAAAATTTTCTTTCAAAGTCGACATATGTATGTATATTTGTTTTTTCCATACGATACATAATACATTAAAAAAATACTATTTAAGTTCCCAAAAATGAATTAATGAGATTATTATTGTAAACCCATGACCACATGACTATACAGATATGTACCAAAATTCAAAATATATAGTGTTTTATAAAAAGAAAAGGATAAGTGATATCCCGAAGTCAGTCAGTAGAATCCGGGCATTATGGGGCACGATAACTGATAAGGAAGACGTTAACAAGCCGGATAACCTTTAGACTGAGCTCTGACGTGCACAAGTTTTGCCTTATCGGAGTTCCTCGTTACATTAAAACTTGTTGTGTTAGAGAATATTATATGTAGGATGTTTCGATTTATCGAGTTTATTAGAAACCAAATGTTTCATAAATATTTTAAAAATAAATTACACAAAGTTTATACATCCATTTAGCTCTTTTTAACATTCCGCTGCTGGGAACGGGCCTCCTCTCCGTGCGAAGGGGAACATACCATAATCCACCACTAACTAATTTAGTTCTTGACCGACTAGGAAAGGTGCATGACCTTTCATAACGATGTTTTCCTCCGCCGTAAGGCAAGCGATAATCTTGTTGAAAATGAATCGCCCATGAAAATATTAGAGATGCGAGACCCGGGTTTAACCGGCTTCACTTTCCAAGCGAGCGTGTCCCACTGGGCTACTATTGCCCATCTTTAAGGAAGCCAGTTGCCAAGCTGGTCTAATTGTACAACTGAAAGATACGATGTTAAACACATTTAAGTTTATTCACAGAAGAAATTATACATAAAAGTGATATTATTTTATACAATAATAATATCTAAATTCCAAGAAGATAGTGTATGAGCAGCACTCTAACGAAGTGATGAGAAAATTGAGCAAAATTAGTAATTTAAGTCAATAATAATAAAACAATGTATGTATGTTGATATTGTAACTAAATGTAAAAAAATGGTTACAACACTTTATCTCCTTTCGGGTATATTATTTAAATTCAATCCTTTTTACTTTACGAGGAACAAGTCTTATTTATTCAGCGCAGATAGTTACTCGGAGAGCATTAATTTTACTTTAATTTATACTGAAAAAAAAAGTTACTTTATGATTTGTTCTTTTAGCATTTTGCCTTACTTGATATTATTTCGCTTAATTTTACATTTTCAAGCTGTTATACTTATTTTGTGTCGTATTAAATTTTTAATTGGTATAAAGTATTAAATATATATGTGGGACCTGTATGTGTGTATGTATGATAGTATGCGTAAATGTATTTCCTAACATTAAAAAGAAAAAAGGTCACAAGGCTATGATTTATATCAATTAGAGTGGAAGTTTGATAGTGGAGATTTTCAAATCTTCATGAAGAACATAAGTAAATATTACGTTAGGCGTTAGGGTAGATTAAATAACGTAAACAATAAACATACACATATTATTTCTTTAACGTTTATATGCAAAATTAAGACACGTTTCTATCTAAATTAGGTAAAACCTATCGAAATTCGACTCGAGTATCCTCACCAAATTACTTCAAATTAACAAATAATTTTTCTCATTAAAATTAGATTATAAAAAATTGCGTGGCACATGACATGATAGGAGAGGCAGTATCGATATTGATCTAAGTTGATCTCGTGCGTTCAGACGGATGAGATCGTAAACCTCGCCAATTACACGGCAGCCCGCCGGGACTAGCGGCTGAGTGTTTTTTATTACATCAAAGTATTGCCGGTTTTTAGAAAATGTGCCGTAAACTTCTTAAAATACATTTACGGAACTTGTCATAAACTCAAAATCCATATCCATACTAATATTATAAATGTGAAAGTTTGTGAGGATGAATGTTTGTTAGTCTTTCACGCCAGAACGGCTGAACGGATCTGGATGAAATTTGGCACAGAGATAGATTATAGTTTGGAATAGCACAAAAGTTACTTTTTATCACGAAAAAATGTACGGTTACCTTGGGATAATTTGTTTTTGTCTAATCGCTAGTAAATGATATTTCTAAACGCTCAGTTTAAAATTACCAACCAAAAGTTACTTTTAGGACATAACACAGCATAAACAAATAAAAAATTACAGTTGTAAAAATAAAATAGATCGATTCACTTTTATATTCCGTCGAGTTGATGGATAACTTTTATATGATTGTTGATAAATTATTATCCCCAAAATAAAAAATGGAAGACAATTTTTCCTGAAATATAACTTTAATAAACGTAACTAACGTTCATACGTCATCATCAAAGTCGTATTGGAAGTATCAATAAAATAAATAAACAAAAACCAAAAGTTAACAAAAACAAGCGATATATAATAGGTATAAGTTAAGATTACGGGATAGTCTGGTCAGCTACGAGTACCTGACAAGGATATACATATAGGTATATTAAATATAACGTCTTAAACGCTTAGACAGTTTAAAATATATTACTACTAAAAATCACCAGTAGCAAGCACACAATATAGATAAACAGTTATTTCAAAAAATCCATCTAGAACAAGACAAAGACGAAAAAAAGAAATTAAAAAAAAAAAAAAACAACCAAACTCATAAGTATTTGTTACTGAACCGCATACTATTAAATGAACATACCTAGAATTCATCAAGAACAGGCATCGGAAAGCAATTTAATAAATAGAAAAAAAAAGGAATAGAGCAATACTGTTGAAATTGAAGTGATCGCAAATAGATAAATCGCAGAGGAAAGTGGCGAATACGTATGCCGCCTGCACACTTTGATACGGTCCGCTGTGAGCCGGGGGTGGAGCTGAATTGATTATAAACTGTTCCAGATTAAATTAAACAGATGTAACAATCTGTAGTATATCGTCAAATCTGTAGTGATTATTGTGACTTGTTGATATTGCGTAAAGCGTTTTTATTTAGTTTAAGCTTTATTACGGTATCAACGGTTCGTATGGAATAGATAAGACTATATGTATAATTTGTACGCATATAGGTATGATGAATTATTGTGGGCTGTGTTATATCGTGTTTTCCCTTGAGAGTGAGATAATCTCCCGCGGTAAAAAGCAGTCTATATCACTCTCCAGCCCTCCAACTATCTCCACACAGAAAATGACGCCAATACGTCTGTTTCGACGTGAAAGAAGGACACACAAACAAACAAACAAACAAATAAACACACTTTAACATTTATAATATTAAAAGTTTGCTTAACGGTTAGTATAGAATAGTTTATATATTATATATATATGTACATACATAGGTATAGAGAATAATATAATATAATAATAAAGGTGAATACTTTAAAAAATAAAAATATTCCCTATTTGAGAAATGATTGATTCTCCATACAAACTTCCTCCCCCTTTAAGGGATGATTTCAGAGACAAAAACTATCTTATGTCCTTCTCGGGGTCTCAAACTTTCTTCATACCAAATTTCATCTAAATCGATTCAGCTAATTAAGCGTGAAAACTGAAAAGACAAAAAAACAGACAGACAGACTGAGTTACTTTTGCATTCATAATATTAAGTGTGGTTTTCCTTTATTTTTAATATACGAGTAGTTCTGCGATTTGCTTTGTCTTTAAGACGGATTTATGAATATTATGATATTTTTAAATAAAGTTTTATAGTTATTTACGTTCTATTGGCTTAGGCTTCATAGGTTATAAGTTAACTTATGAAGTTATCCTGTAATTGCACGAAAACGCGGATTCGTACCTATATATTTTCCTGAGCAAAACCTTACTTTTGTTTTGCGTAGAGTTCAGAACAATGAAAATTAATAATATAAAATAAATATGGTGAGAAATAATAATTATGTTTTTAAATGTCTTAAGATTTAATCGCCATACTCCATAACATTTACCTAATACTCGTAGTAGCTATAAACAAAGTTATTTTAAACCAATAACATAGCATGTAAAGCTATTCATTACAATAATTGGAAACTCATTTCAGTCAACATCTTTTGCTTGAATTGCTAAAATAAACAGTGAGTTTTAGTTAATTTAGCGAAAATTTACCGAGCAACTGTCCAGTCATAATTTCTCATTTCCAAGACCCAACAAAAGGAGCGGAACGAATTCAAACAGAAATTGTTCTGTAACTGGTGAGTTCCGGCTTCATTATTCAACATCTGTCCGTCTGTCCCGATTCTCCTCAACTAACGGAAACACTGTAGGTGTGGACTTTAGAACGTTAGACGTTTGAACAATAGCTATTAGGAACTTGGTTGAGAATGTGTATCTGGAAAC